TTTCGTTATTTTTTTGAAGATTTTTTTTTAAAGGACATTTTTCATTGATTTTGAAGGCTACAGATCACGAATTTGGTCTGAGGCTATTCTTCAACGATGATTAAGTCCATTAAGCACCGATTCGGGCAGATATCTTCCGGGTCAATTTTCGGCAGATCCAAAGTGGTCCATCACCGATTTCAGGCGATATTTCTGAAATGCTATTTTCTTTCGATTTTGTAGGCTATAGTTCACGGATTCAACCCAAGGCTATTCTTCACCGATAATGAAGTCAATTGATCCTATTCTCCGCCAATGATTAAGCCTAGTAAGCACCGATTTGGGCGAATTTATTTTTGGATGACATTTTTCATAATCTTTTAGACGATTTTTTTTTTTTGAAAGGCCATTTTCCATGGATTTTGAAGGCTACATATCCCGAATTTGGTCTGAGGCTATTCTTCAACGATGATTAAGTTCATTAACCACCGATTTAGGCGGATATCTTCCGGGTCAATTTTTGGAAGATCCAAAAAGTGGTACCATCACTGATTTCGGAGGATTTTTTCGAAATGCTATTTTCTTTCGATTTCTGAGGCTACAGATCACGGATTCAACCCGAGGCTATTCTCCACCGATAATGAACTCTATTGATCTTATTCGCCCCCAATGATTAAGCCCATTAAGCACCGATTTGGGCGAATTTATTTTGGGATGTCATTTTTCGTAATTTTTTAGACGATTTTTTTGAATTTGTAATTTTCCATGGATTTTGAAGGCTACAGATCACGGATTTGGTCTGAGGCTATTTTTCAACGATGATTAAGTCCATTAAGCAACGATTCGGGCAGAAATATTCTGGGTTAATTTTCGGCAGATCCCAAAGGGGTACCATCAGCGATTTTTGGCGATTTTTTCGAAATGCTATTTTCTTTCTATTTTTGAGTCTACAGATCACAGATTCAACCCGAGGCTATTCTCCACCGACAATGATTAAGCCCATTAAGCACCGATTTGGGCGAATTTATTTTGGGATGGTATATTTCTTGATTTTTTAGACGATTTTTTTCGAAATGCCTTTTTCCATGGATTTTGAAGGCTACAGATCACGGATTTGGTCTGTGGCTATTCTTCAACGATGATTAAGTCAATTAAGCACCGATTCGGGCGGATATCTTCCGGGTCAATTTTTGGCAGATCCCAAAGGCTACCATCACTGTTTTCTGGCGATTTTTCCGAAATGCTATTTTCTTTCGATTTTGGAGGCTACATATCACGGATTCAACCCGAGGCTATTCTCCACCAATAATGAAGTCTATTGATCCTATTATCTGCCAATGATTAAGCCCATTAAGCACCGATTTGGGCAAATTTATTTTGGGATGCCATTTTTCTTAATTTTTTAGACGAATTTTTTCGAATTGTCATTTTCCATGGATTTTGAAGGCTACAGATCACGGATTTGGTCTGAGGCTTTTCTTCAAATGATTAAGTCCATTAAGCACCGATTCGGGCGGATATCTTCCTGGTCAATTTTCGGCAGATCCCAAAGGGGTACCATCATCTATTTCATGCGATTTTTCCGAAATAATATTTTCTTTCGATTTTGCAGGCTACAGATCACGGATTCAACCAGAGGCTATTCTCCACCGATAATGAAGTCTATTGATCCTATTCTTCGCCTGTGATTAAGCCCATTAACACCGATTTGGGCGAATTTATTTTTGAATGGCATTTTTCGTAATTTTATAGACGATTATTTTCGAAATTCCATTTTCCATAGATTTTGAAGGCTACAGATCACGGATTTGGTCTGAGGCTATTCTTCAATGATGATTAAGTCCATTAAGCACCGATTCAGGCGGATATCTTCCGGGTCAATTTTTGGCAGATCCCAAAGGGGTACCATCACCAATTTCGGGAATTTTTCTGAAATGCTATTTTCTTTCCATTTTGGAGGCTACAGATCACGGATTCAACCCGAGGCTATTCTCCACCTATAATGAAGTCTATTGTTCCTATTCTCAGCTAATGATTAAGCACCGATTTGGGCGAATTTATATTGGGATGACATTTTTCGTAATTTCTAAGACGATTTTTTTCGAACGGCCATTTTCAATAGATTTTGAAGGCTACAGATCACGGAGTTGTTTTGAGGCTATTCTTCAACGATGATTAAGTCTGTTAAGCACCGATTCGGGCGGATATCTTCCGGATCAATTTTCGGCAGATCCCAAAGGGGTACCATCACCGATTTCTGGTGATTTTTTCGGAATGCTATTTTCTTTCGATTTTGGAGGCTACAGATCACGGATTCAACCCGAGGCTATTCTCCACCGATAATGAAGTCTATTGATCCTATTCTCTGCCAATGATTAAGCCCATTTAGCACTGATTTGGGCGAATTTATTTTGGGATGGCATTTTTCTTAATTTTTTAGATGATTTTTTTCGAAATGCCATTTTCAATGGATTTTGAAGGCTAAAGATTACGTATTCGGCTTGGGGCTATTCTTTAATGATGATTAAGTCCATTAAGCACCGATTCGGGTAGATATCTTCTCCGTCCATTTTTGGTAGATCCCAAAGTACCCATCATCGATTTCGGACGATTTTTCAGAATGCCATTTTTCTTATTTTGGAGGCTACAGATCACAAGTTCAACCCGATGGTATTCTCCACCAACAATGAAGTCTATTGATGCTATTCTCCGCCAATGATTAAGCCGATTGAGCACCGATTTGGTCGAATTTATTTTGGGATGGCATTTTCGTAATTTTTAGACAATTTTTTTTCGAAAGAACATTTTCCATGGATTTTGAAGGCTACAGATCACGGATTCGGCCTTAAGCTATTGTTCAATTATGATTAAGTCCATTAAGCACCGATTCGGGCGGATATCTTCCGGATCCATTTTTTGCAGATCCCAAAGGGGTACCATCACCGATTTAGGACAATTTTTCCGAAATGCCAATTTCTTTCGATTTTGGAGACTATAGATCATGGATTCAACCCGATGATATTCTCCACTGATAATGAATTCTATTGATCCTATTCTCCGCCTATGATTAAGCCCATTAAGCACCGATTTGGGCGAAATTATTTTGGGATGGCAATTTCGTATTTTTTAGACGATTTTTTTCGAAATGCCTTTTTCCATGGATTTTGAAGGCTACAGATCACGGATTTGGTCTGAGGCTATTCTTCAACGATGATTAAGTCCATTAAGCACCGATTCGGGCGGATATCTTCCGGGTCAATTTTTTGCAGATCCCAAAGGCTACCATCACCGTTTTCTGGCGATATTTCCGAAATGTTATTTTCTTTCGATTTTGGAGGCTACAGATCACGGATTCAACCCGAGGCTATTCTCCACCGATAATGAAGTCTATTGATCCTATTCCTGCCAATGATTAAACCCATTAAGCACCAATTTGGGCAAATTTATTTTGGGATGGCATTTTTCGTAACTTTTTAGACGAATTTTTTCGAAATGTCATTTTCCATGGATTTTGAAGGCTACAGATCACGGATTTGGTCCGAGGCTATTCTTCAACGATGATTAAGTCCATTAAGCAACGTTCGGGCAGAAATCTTCCGGGTTAATTTTCGGCAGATCCCAAAGGGGTACCATCACCGATTTCTGGCGATTTTTTCGAAATGCTATTTTCTTTCATTTTTGGAGTCTACAGATCACGGATTCAACCCGAGGCTATTCTCCACCGATAATGAAGTCTATTGGCTATTGATCCTATTCTCCGACAATGATTAAGCCCATTAAGCACCGATTTGGGCGAATTTATTTTGGGATGGTATTTTTCGTAATTTTTAGACGATTTTTTTCGAAATGCCTTTTTCATCGATTTTGAAGGCTACAGATCACGGATTTGGTCTGAGGCTATTCTTCAACGATGATTAAGTCCATTAAGCACCGATTCGGGCGGATATCTTCCGGGTCAATTTTTGGCAGATCCCAAAGGCTACCATCACCGTTTTCTGGAGATTTTTCGGAAATGCTATTTTCTTTCGATTTTGGAGGCTACAGATCACGGATTCAACCCGATGCTATTTTCCACTGATAATGAAGTCTATTGTTCCTATTCTCCGCTAATGATTAAGCCCATTAAGCACCGATTTGGGCGAATTTATTTTGGGATGACATTTTTCGTAATTTTTTGGTTGATTTTTTTCGAGATGCTATTTTCTTTGGATTTTGAAGGCTACAAATCACAGATTCGCCCTGAGTCTATTCTTCAACGATGATTAAGTCCATTATGCACCGATTTGGGCGGATATCTTCTTGGTCCGTTTTTGGCAGATCCCAAAGGGGTACCATCACAATTTCGGGCGACTTTCCCGAAATATCATTTTCTTTCAATTTTGGAGGGTACAGATCACGAATTCAACCCAAGGCTATTCTCCACCGATAATGAAGTCTATTGATCCTATTCCCCGCCAATGATTAAGCCCACTATGCACTGATTTGGGCGAATTTATGTTGGGATGACATTTTCGTAATCTTTTGGGCGATTTTTTTCGAAAGGCCATTTTTCTTGGATTGTGAAGGCTACAAATCACGGATTCGGCCTGAGGTTATTCTTCAACAATGATTAAGTCTATTAAGCACCGATTTTGACGGATATCTGTAGATGAAAGAAAAAAGAAAGAAAGAGAAAAGTATAGGAAAAGAAGACAAAAGTATAGGAAGAAAGAGAAAAGGACAAAGTTGGAACCAAAAAACCTCAAATGAGTTATTTAAAAATAACTACCTACCTCCCAGCTATTTCAAATAAATCGTTATTTTGTGATAATTCATACTCAAATACCACATTCCACTTTTATGATGTCGAACGAGTTATTTTGATTCAAATAACCCATACAAACAATTCATTCAAATAAATCCTACTCAAATACCACAATACCACATTCTCTACATATACGTTTTTCCATCGAGTGATCTGACCAAAAATTCCTGAGGATCCAAACAGGGGGCCCTGCCTGGCCACCCGTCAATTCCAAAACATTCATACACTGCCCATTGCCCAAAAACTCGACGGTCAATTTCCCCTTTCATTTCACTTCCTGGAGAAATTCGTACGACGTTTTTCTGTTTGATCTGTAGAGACCACAAACAATTCAGAAACAAATACACTGCAAGTTACAGAATTGACATGCACAATTACAACAAACAAACAAACAATTGTTTGTCCATTCTCCTCATTCTCATAGACCACCAATCTAGCTATCAGGATTCTAGTACAGTAGGGTGACGCCTGTACTTCGGATTTTGATGTTTTCTAGTTTCTTGGGATCTTCCTCCTGGTCGTCTATCGTGCCTGGTCTAAGGGAAAATCTGAAGGAAACAATGAGCCCAGCATATCTCACATGCCATGGTTCTGCTTCTTCTCGTATTCCTTTCTTTGTCTCACCTAACAAGTTCTTGTCGTACCATATATATACGATATCCGACTGGGACAGACCCAAACCGAAACTGGGAGAACTCCAAGAGGCAGCAACAATGGTGCCGATGTTGCAATCGCAGGTGATGGATATCCAGACAAGTCCAATATCTGAAGAACACACAAGGCTAAATGCAATCCCTTTGATTAGCCGGTTAGTTGTGCAGTCTGGAAGAGTCAATTGTACCATTCTAGACGAATCATTTGCATAACTCGCGCTTTTGTAAGCAAACCACCTTGGAATTTCACTTCCCGAGTGTTGAAGATTACCCTAAAACCAACAGGGAGACACTATCATGAAAAGGATGTTCAAGATTTACCGTCACTACTAATCATAAATTTAACGTAATTATACTACTTTACTGCTTAAATACCTGAGAATGTAGATTTGACACGGCATGATTGCAGAAATTAAGCACTAGTTCTCGAGGAAGATACGTATCCAATTGTGGACAATCTTCAAAGTACAGCTTCTTCCATCTCAGCCTGCCTATGTTACTTGGTAAAGCTTGTAACAGTGTGCAACCACTTATATCCAAAGTTGAAAGATTCGGTGGGAGTTCTGGCAAAAATTTAATCCTGGGACAGTCTGCCAAGGACAACACGCATAAGTAGACAAGCTTGTGGATGTTGCTTGGGACGAACTCTAAGCTTTTGTTGGAATGCAAATCTAAACGTATGAGCTTGTAAAGTTCCCCAACAGCTGAAGGAACAGACTCAATATCGGTGTTAATGAAACTGAGGAACTGCAAAGATTTCAGATTGTTGATGCTAGTTGGAAAGCTCTTCAGGTTCTGACATCCTTTTATATAGAGCTCCGTTAAGCCAGTCACAGGATGTGAGATTCCCGGCAAAGTTTCAATCAATGGGCAATCTACAAGAAGGAGCGATTGAGAAACCATGCTCCAGATATTCTTTGACAAGCTCTTGAGTTGAAGGTTGTCAAGCAACTCCAGTTTGACAAATCCTGGCAAAGAACCCTGCTGATGATGATCAACATCATAACAATTCATATCGATTATTGTGGTATGCCAAAGCCGAAGGAATTCCAAGCTTGCTGAGATCGCAGGGAAGCAGGTGATGTGTCTGCCGCATAGATCTAGATTTCCACCCTGCTTGATATAGCGAATTGCAGCTGGCAAGGCTACCACAGATGTCTCCATTAAATCCAAAACCACCAATTCTTTTGAATTAAACTCAGGACAACGAGTGACATTGGGACAGTTGGACAACCAAATACACTGGAGGAACTTTGAGTTGAGGTTTGCAGGAACATTTCGCAGACTTGAACAATCTCTGAGGTTTAGTTCTACCAGCTTGTCCAGATATTGAACATGAGATGGTAGCTCAATCAGCCTTCTGCATCCTTCGAGAATGAGGCGCTCCAGCAGTGGAGACCCCGACAGGTTCGGGATTGCAACTAAATTTATGTTGTGGCGGAGGTCGAGCACCACTAGGTTCACAAGCTCTGGCTGCAAAACAAGAACAAGACTAAACTTTATCTATTTCGAGTATAAAGACCACCGTGGTTAAGAGTCTTTACGACCAAAGGGCAGTCGTGGATGGGAGGCCTAAACTAGTTTTACTTCAAAATATATCAGAGAGATCATAGGTTTATCGATAACATTAACTTTTGTGAAAAAAGGGAAATGAAACGAGTTAAAATAAACAAAGGTGTATATATGAAGAGATACAACATGTTTAATTCCACGAAATAGTAAAATTTAGAAAATCATTTTTTAATTTTTTGTATTACCACCTTTACCATGGACTAATCCATAGAACATCCAAAAATTGAACTCATCCCAAAAAAATTGTTTTTGACATACCTCAATTGTCCAGCATCTTTCCAGTATTGAGCTACCACGTAAACATAGTGTGACAAGGTTTTTTGGGGTAAACGTTGATGGTAGAGACTTTGAAGGGTACTCATCCCAACACAACCACCTCAGACCCTTAGGAATATCAAGGCCATCACATGGTATATGAACTTTGGAAGATCCATAATCATTTATTGAACAGCAGAAGATAATAAATCTAAGAGAAGTCATCCCTTCGAAGGTGTTGGCTCCCAAATATATCTCATTTGCTTTAGAAAGATCCAAATATATGCCTTCAGTTGCTCTGCAGCCCTTGAAGGACAAGCTTTTTGTCAGTAATGTGGGAACATCATCAAAATTCTGGAACCGGGTACGGGATTCCAGTTTTGATTCCTCATTAACAATGCTCCAAGCCAATTCTCTTAGCAAGTCATGCACCCAAATCGTATCACCAAAGTCGCCCGCGACACAAATGCACAAGGACTTGTCAATTAGATCCTCAAGTACATGATATGCAAGGGAATATTTTACCAAAACAGATTTGTGTACCCCGTAGAAGAAACAAGCAATGTCCAAGAATAACATCCTTTCAGCAACTCCTAGAGCGTTGTAGCTTCTCTTAAGAACATCATGAATTCCTGGGGTTGGAATCAGTCTCATATCACCCAAGAAACTAATCCAATAATTTCTGCCCCTTCCTGATAATGCACCACCAAAAACTTTTATGGCCAGAGGGCATCCGTTGCAATAAGATACAGCAAGATGTGATAGTCCCATCAAATCATCAGGTGGGAGGCGTTTTCCAAAAGCATGTATACGAAAGAGTTGATGAGATTCAATATGACTCAAACAATCAACATGGTAAATCCTAGCCCCTACATTTCCGAGCGCCATGCGGTTTCTTGTTGTCAAGATTATTCTGCTTCCCGGGGCAAAGAGATAGGTGGAACCCAACAGATCCCCCAACAGCAATTGCTCTAATTGCGACAATGTTTCCACATCATCGAAAACAAGGAAGCATCTCAGACGAGAAAGACGACTCCTTCTATAATCAACATACAAGTCATCGTAACTTAGGTTACTCTCAGACAACAATGTTGAATAGAGTGTTGTTATAATTCCTTCCATTCCATTTTCCTTATCACCCCTTTGGTTGATGTTAAGGACAAAGTGATGCTTGATTCCTTTGGCTGAAGATATTACCCTTTGATAGCAAGCTCTAGCTAGAGTGGTCTTTCCTACACCACCCATCCCCCAAAGTTCGATAATGCGAAAATCATTCACATTCATAGCTAATAATTGTTCAACCTCAGAAATGCGAGCATCTATGCCAATCAAGTTATCAGACTTCACTCTCGGTGACATGTCTATGAGTGTATTCTGAACACAGTTGACTATTGCCTCAACTAATTCAGAATCAATCCTAATAACCCAACAGGATAAAGGAAAAGGAAAAGGAAAAACAAATGAGAAAACCTGAAGTCATGATGAGAGAAGAAATTTTTCGTAATAAGAAGGCTGGCTCTTAATTAGGAAGGAAGACTTTACTTGATTGCCTGTGAAGTATAGCCAGCACAATTAGCGACAGCTCTCAAAGCATCCATCCATCTCTTCCTATCTTCCGGAGATTTGCTAGCTCCATAATTCTGCTCAATGGCAGCAGCGTAACTTCCAGAGTCCTCTGATACATCAGAGGGATCCACTTTGTAGAAAACTGGAAGCACACGGTGTCTGAATTCTAACATGCTTTGAGAAATGGTGGCCACTTCATCCAAGCACCAGCTTGAATCTGCAAAATTCTCCGTGAAAATCACAACTGAGAGGGCGGATCTTTTGAGGACAGAGATTAGCTCGTCGATGCTCTCAGTTTTGTTGAGCATGTCGTCGACGAAGGCTTTGATTTGCCTGTTGGAGAGAGCGGCCCTGAGGTGGCTGGTAAAACCATGGCGAGTATCGGCACCTCTGAAACACAAGAAGACGTCGTATTCCCATTTCCCTGAGTAGGAGGAATCCGGATGATGAGATGAAAGAGAAGAAGAAGAAGCAGCAGCCATTGATTTTCTGTTAGTATCTCAGGTTGCTGTCTAGGGGAAGTTTGGGTTTCTTTCTTAGCAAAGAAGGAACACTTCTATAGCTGGGGGAAGAAGGGACTCATTTGCTTCCCAATGGTTTCAGCTGTTAAAGTGATTCAGAGGAAAGAGAAAGGACATTGCCAGTAAAGCTTTGGTAGAGGAGGAAGCCATTGGAGTGTGTGGATCTTGGTCTTTGTTATTTCTAATCAGCTTGACTCAAAGGGATGGTCATTGTTTACATGCACGGCCTTTACTTCTTAATTGGGTCATTGTTTAGTAATGTTATCTCACCTAATCTAATCTTTGTCGTCAACAACATAGACGAAACAGCATATTCCCATTTTTAATTCCCAATTAGCAATTACACCTGCAACGCGTGTATATTAAAAATGATTAGGAACTTCTTGTTACCATCCAAATGAATTATACTGGTCAAACTATCGAAGTTTCTTGCCAAACATATTACCTAACCTTTGCTTAAATTATTCACTACTAGACTATTAATCCTTGTTGCAGGCAGATTTCTCCCAAGAATAAATTTCAGTAACATACATATTTGAAAGTATCAGATCAACGTTCATTTTAAAGCGGTGATTGTGACGCCTATATTAGTCTCAGCTCAACGTTTCACATATAGATAGGCAGCCCCTGAGTTTCACCCCTTATGCAGATGCGGATTCAGGGTGCAACATAAGAACGTAGCTGCTACTGTTTCAGTTCATTTATAAAAGGAGAAATGCACAGGTTTTGATTTGTATGATCCAAGTCAAGTTTTCAGCCACCAATCACGAACAGACCAAGAAAATTTTGCAGTACTAATTACATACCTGAAAATGCAGGTTTGTGAACTTTTGTACTCTGCCTGAATGGTGCAAGTCCATGATTCAGAATCCCATACTTGAGGAGTTGAGGAGGCAAAACCTGTTAGGAGATTGAAAAGAAAACAAACTTTTTGATAGCTGTAAATGCCAAGTAATAAGAGGTGCATAGAACATGCTATAGAGCTCTATCACATTTCAACATTCTGATTAAGCAACAACCAACGAATTTCAGAAAGTAAAAAAAAAAAAAAAACAATATCGTATATGGGGGAGGAGGTCATGCAAATGGATAAGTGACTTTCGGAACATATCGCCAGTTGGTACACAGAGTAAAGCAACGCCCGATATTGATGTTCTTTGATTTCTTGAGGTCATCTTCCCCTTTTCTGCTTACGCATGTTACTTTGGCCACACTCGAGTCTTCTAATGTAGACACACTTAAACAAGAGAGTATGTTCCAGATCCTGGGTACGAAAATAAGGCAGCAATTTAACAGCTGCTCCAGATAAATGGAGGGAGAGCAGAGATTTAAATCGCAGACAGCCTCGTAGAGAACTCTTCAGGCTTCCACGTTAATAATGTCAACCGTAGTTAAGACATTCACAGGCTGCGAGATCTCTGTATAACTTTCAAGCAATGGGTTATTCACAAGAACAAGTGATCTCATATAGACCAGATATTCCTTGACAAACTCACGCCGGCATTGGCAGAGAGTGAACCGTGTGAAGGGAGTTGAGAGTGATAACATGTTTCCTCCACAAACTCTCTAACCACATGGACTGAAATCAAAATTGATGAACTGATAAAAACAAAGATTATCATCTGCACTGATGTCTCTGAAGTGGTATCGAATCCCAACCTGCACCATTGACATCTAACCAATCAGTCGTATGGTCTGAAATGAAGTGGTAATACCACTAGCCATGAACCTGGAGGTCCCAGGTTCGAGTCCCTTCAGTAGTACCTAATAACAAAAAAGTAACCTATATCACCCTTATCTAAAAAAATATATGAGATTTTGAAATTGTTGAAGGCCGGAAAAACAAATCAACAATTCTGATACAAATACACAGCAAATCACAAAATGCGTAAAAAGAAAGTCTAAAATGGGACACGCCAAAACTTTGTCCATTTTCCTCATTCCCATCAAACTATGAGCTAGCAGTTAGTACAGTAGAGAGACGCCAAAAGTTTTGATTTTGATGCTCTTTAATTTCTCCGGATCTTCTCCCCTCACTGGTTGAAGGGAAAATCTGAAGGAAACAGCACGCCCAGCATATCTCTCATACCAAGGTTCTGCTTCTTCTGGTATTCCTTTCTTGATCTCACCAAACAAGTTCTTCTCATACCATATAAATACATTATCTGATTGGGTCAAACCAGAACCAGGAGAACTCCAAGAGGCAGCGGCACTGGTGCCAAAGTTGGAATCCCAAGTGATAGACATCAGAACGAGCCCAATATCAGAAGAACACACAACACCAAATGCAATCCCTTTGATTGGCCGTCTGATGGTGGAGTTTGGAGGAGGCAATTGCACCATCATACATGAATCATTCTTATAATCCACACTTGAGTAGGCAAACCATTCCGGAAACTCACTCCCCGAGTATTGAAGAACACCCTATTACCAACAAAAGATGCACTTTCATAAAAAAGGATCTTTAAAATTTCCCCCTAGTGCTAATCATAAATATAACAAAAACATGGTACTGTAATGTTTCAATACTTGAGGGTGTAGATTCGATGCTGCATGATCAGGGAAATTATTCAGTATTTCTTTAGGCAGATGCGTGTCCAATTGGGAGCAATCTTCAAAGTACAAATCCTTCCATCTCAGTCTGCCTATGTTGCTTGGTAAGGCTTGTAACAATTCACAACCACTTACAGTCAAAGTTAGAAGATTGGGTGGGAGGTCCGGCAACGATAGAATCCTCGAACAGCCTGCTAAGCACAACAAGGATAAATTGGCAAGTTTACTGATGTCGCTCGGAATAAACTCCAAGCTTTTGTTGAAAGACAAATTCAAAATGGAGAGTTGGTCAAGTTCCAGGATAGCAGAAGGAAGAGACTTAATAGCCGTGCCATCAAAGTCAAGCTGCAGCAAGGAGCTCAGATTGTTGATACCAGTAGGGAAACTCTTCAGGTTTCGACTTCCTGTTATACTAAGCTGAGTTAATTCAGTCACAGGCTGTGAGATTTCTGGCAAAGTTTCAATCAACGGGCAATTCTGGAGAGTGAGAGTTTGAGAGACCATCTTCCATATATTCCTTGACAAGCCCTTGAGTTGGGGGTTGCAGACCAAATCCAATCGAACAAATCTTGGCAAAGAATTCTGCTGATCATCATCATAGTCATAACAATCCATTTCTCTTATTCTGGTATGGCACAATCGAAACTCTTTCAAGCTTGTTAAAATCACAGGGAAGCTGGTGATGTGTTCACCGCATAGATATAGCCGGCCACCTTGCTTGATATCATGAATTGCACTCGGCAAGGCTATGATGGGAGTCTCCAGTAAATTCAAAGACACCAACTCTCCTGAATTAATCTCTGGACAACGAGTAATCTTGGGACAGTTGGCCAACCAAAGAGACTTGAAGAACTTCGAGTTGAATTTGGGCGGAAGGCTCCTCAGATTTGTACAATCATCAAGGAACATTGCTACAAGCTTGTCCAGATCTTGAAGATGAGATGGGATCTCAATAAGGCTTTTACACCCCTGGAGAAGTAGGTACTCCAACTTCTGAGACCCTGACAGGTTCGGGATTGCAACTAAATTTATGCAGTGGGAGAGGTCAAGCCACACTAGATTCACAAGCGGCGGCTGCAAAACAAAAAGACTAAATATAATAATCTCTCTTCTATTGAGTATATGGAATATAATGGAGTACTAACATACCTCAACTTCCCAGCATCTTTCCAGTATTGGGCTACCACGAAGAGAAAGTGTGACGAGCTTTTCAGGAGAAAATGTTGACGGCAGATATTTGGAAGGGAATATGTCCCACCGCAACCACCTTAGGCTGTCAGGAAGGAAGTCGAGGCCACCATATGGTACACGAACTTTGATAGCTCCATTCTCATATCTTGGGCAGAGGAACTTGAGACATCTAAGAGAAGTCATCCCATCGAAGGCTTTGGCTTCCAGACGCATCTCATTGACTTCAGAAAGGTCCAAATATATGCCCTCAGTGACTCTACCTCCATTTAAGGACGAGCTTCTTGTTAGTAGTTGGTGAATATCATCAGCATTCTTCAACATGGTGCGGTTTCCCAGTTTTGGTTCTTCATTAACAATGCTCCAAGCTGTTTCCCTTAGCAAGTCGTGCACGTAAATCCCCTCACCAATATCACCCGCCACAGAAATGCAGAAGGACTTATCAATTAGATTCTCGAGTACATAATGGGCTTGGTAATATTTTATCAATAAGGATTTGGTCGTCCCGTAGAATAAACAAGCAATGTCCAAGAAAAATCTATTTTCCTCAACTCCTAGTGTGTTGTAGCATTTCTTAAAAACTTCATGGATTCCTGGGGTTGGAATCTGCCGGTCATTCAAGAAACTCACCCAATATTCTCTGCCCTTGCCAGATAATGTACAACCAAAAACTTTTATGGCTAGAGGGTTTCCCTTGCAATATGATAGAGCCCAATGTGATAGTTCCATCCAATCATCGGGTGGTAGGCTTCGTCCAAATGCATGGATACCAAAGAGTTGAACAGATTCATTATAATCCAAACAACCAACATGATAAATCCTAGCCCCTACATTTCCAAGCACCATTCGGTTTCTTGTTGTCAGAATAATTCTGCTTCCAGGGGCAAAAAGATGGGTAGAACTCAAAAGATCTCCCAACAACAATTGCTCTAATTGTGACAAAGTTCCCACATCATCCAAAACAAGGAACACCCTCAAACGGGAAAGACGACTCCTTCTATAACTAACATCCAAATCATCGTAATTTATGTTACTCTCAGACAGCAGCGCTGAATAGAGTTTTGTTATGATTCCTTCCATTCCATTTTCCATTTCACACCTTTGGTTGATGTTACGAACAAATTGATGCTTGATTCCGTTTGTCAAGGATATAAGCCTTTGATAGCAAGCTGTAGCTAGAGTGGTCTTTCCTACACCAGGCATCCCAAAAAGTTCAATAATCCGAAAATCATTCATGTTCATAGCTATTAGTTGTTCAACCTCAGAAACGCGAGCATCTATGCCAATCAAGTTATCAGACTTCACTCTCGGTGACATGTCTACAAGTATTTTCAAAACACTGTTGACTATTGCCTCAAGTAATTCAGAATCAATCCTGATAACCAAAAGGGTAAAACAAAAAAGGAAAACAAAAAAAATCGAAATGAGAAAAACTGAAGTCACGTTGAGAAAAGCAATTATTATCAGTAAGAAGGCTGGCTTTCAATTAGGAGTAAGGAAGGCTTACTTTATTGCCTGTGAAGTATGGGCAGCACAATTAGCCACAACTTTCAAAGCATCCATCCATCTCTTCCTGTCCTCTGGAGATTTGCTAGCTCCATGTTTGTTTTTTCTCTTTTTCGGAGGTCTGGCTCCATATTTCTGCTCAATAGTAGCCGCATAACTTCCAGAATCATCTTTAACATCAGAGGGATCCACTTTGTAGAAAACTGGAAGCACACGGTGTCTGAATTCTAACATGCTTTGAGAAATGGTGGCCACTTCATTCAAGCACCAGCTTGAATCTGCAAAATTCTCCGAGAAAATCACAACTGAGAGTGCAGATCTTTGGAGGACGGAGATCAGCTCATCGATGCTCTCAGTTTTGTTGAGCATGTCATCGATAAAGACTTTGATTTGCTTGTCGCGGAGAGCAGCCCTGAGGTGGCTTGTAAAACCAGCGCGGGTGTCGTCCCCTCTGAAACACAAGAAGACGTCATATTCCCATTTCCCGGAGTAGGAAGAATAAGGATGATGAGAAGAACGCAATGAAGGTGGGGAAGCTGCCATTACTAATTCACTGAAGCTTTCGGGATATTTTCGTACAAAAAGCTTTGGAGGACCTTTCTCTCCTTCTATTTAGGCATTTGAGGTAGATCAAGAAGAGGGCTGGCGGGCTGCTAAGCTTTCAGTTTACAGGTCTTCTTCTTTTTGTCTTGTTGTTGGTACCTACATCATAAATGGGGTTAGTTGGGAATGTGATTTCTTGCATTATTTCTTGCCCGTAGAAATCAAATTGATAGATCATTGGAAGTCATTTCCGAAGTTTTGTGGAAAATATTGAGCCAGCAGCAAGTCTTGGTCCACCATTTAATGCTACCAACAAATTCAGTACATTTCTCACTAGTCACCCATTTTGGGTTTCTTCACTACAGTTCTTGTATAAAAAAGACGAGACTTATACTAATGATAACCAAGATTTGAGAAATGCAATACACTAGACTTATTTTGAAGTAGAGGAATGACCAAGGATTTATAGCATTTCGAGTAGAGGAATGGAGTGGGACAAGTACTAATAGTTGGGAACATACTAGAAATTTGATATATCGGCATATTCAGATTCAACTCTATATACACATGGCAAATACCAAATGTTGAAGAGGATCACAGGAAACAGACAGTTATGTGACAACAACAATCACACTACTTAGCATTATTACCAGGCTGTGAATCATGTGAAGCCATCGAGGGTGGCAAGTGGCCACTTTTTCCTTCCCAAATTCTCTACCCACGTAGCCTGCAGATATCGTTATAATGGCCGAAGTAATGACACCAAGCAAGATCGTCATCCGAACTGAACTACAGTCAGTAAAGTAGAGAGACGCCACATTTTTTGACATGGTAAGGAGTAGTGACACCTCCAAATTCCACAACTGCCACAAATTGAAATGAAACAGTGAGCCCAGCGTACTTATTGAACCAAGCTTCTTCATCATCATCCTTGAAACTGCAAAATGTCTTATCAGACCACAGAAATACACGATCTGAGTTGCCACCAAGCATGTGGTACTCCCAGGGGAAAGATATCCAGCGCCAGACACCTTCAGTTTCGATGAAACATGCTCCAACTATATGCATGGAACCTCGGGGTTGGTCCAATGAATACACGACACCAAATGCAATTCCCTTCAGTTCTGCAGAGTCCACAGGTAGCTCCAAGCTCACATAATTCTCTTCCTTTATGCTCCGTTGGTGAAACCATTGTGGAACCTCACTTCCTGAATAGTGAAACCCCACCTGTAACAGCACAAATAATGACAATGGAAGCCTTAAGAAAATCTCTTTTTTGGCATTGTTCACTACTAAGGGCAAACCATATGAAGAACATAAAAGCTTATATGTACATATATACCTGAGGATGCCGAGACAAAGCCTGATCTGGGAAACTCGACAGGATTTCATCAACCGAACTCCTGTCAAGTTGTGGACAATCGTCAAGCCTCAGGTGCTCAAAACTTAGGTTCCCAATATTCCTCGATAGGACTTGTAATGAATCACAGTTATTTGCCTTCAAAATCTTAATATTTGGTGGGAGTTCTGGCAAAGACCGAATACTCTTACAGCCCATCAACAACAATTCGGCAAGCTTGGCAAGGTTGTGGATGGTGTTCGGGATAAACTCAAGGCTTTCACAGTAAGATAGATCTAGATAAGAGAGCTGGTCCAATTCTTCGATACAGGAAGGTAGTGACCTGATACCTGTGGCACCAAGAATGAGCATGTTCAAATATTTCATATTTGAGATGCAAGACGAAACATCGGTGAGCCTTGCACAACCAGAAATACGAAGCTGAGTTAAGAGTGAAGGCTCTGAGGTTTCTGGCAAACTTTCAATCAATGGGCAACCCTCAACATGAAGTGCAACAGAGACATTCTTCCAAATACTCGTAGGCAGAGTCTTGAGTAGGGTGTTGTGGACCAAATGCAGTCGATCAAATTGATAGTGTTCAAATTCCATCTCTCTTACTGCAGTATGGTGCAGACGAAGCAGCTTTAAGCTCATTGAAATTTGAGGGAAATCAGTGATGTTTTGGCCATAGAGACTAACCACCCCACCCTTATTGACATTGGAGATTGCATCCGGCAGCACGCTTATGGGTGTCCCATCTAAATCCAAGACCTCCAACTCTCCTGAATTAATATCGGGACATCGAGTGACATTGGGACAATTGGACAACAGAAGCTGCCTCAGGAACTTTGAGTTGAGCCTGGCTGGAATACGCTGGAGATTTTCGCAATCCCTGGCATCCAACTTTACCAATTTGACAAGAGATTGGATGCTTGCAGGTAGCTCAATTAGGCTTTTGCATCCGCGGCATATAAGGAGCTCTAGTTTTGAAGAGCTCCACAGGTTTGGGATAGCAGCTAAACGTTCGCAGTAGGAGAGGTTAAGCACAACCAGATACTGAAGCTTAGGCTGCCAATGAAAACACCAGCAAAGCAAAATGAGGTTAAACAAATCCCTGCAATATATGGAAATATGAGGACTAACCAGTTAACAAATGACAACCAAATACATAGTGCTTATTTATATTATATACCTGATCTTGTAATTCCCAGCATCTCTCAATCGGGCTATTGCTTAGAATGAGGTTGAAGAGTTTTTTGGGAGAAAATCCTGATGGCAGAGACTTTGAAGGGAATTGATCCCAATTCAAACCCCTTATCTCGTCAGGAAGATAGTTAAGGCCTCCATCTGGTAGACGTATCTTCTGAAACCCTCCCTGCTTTGGCCAGTAGAATTTGAGCCATCTCAGAGAGTCCATCCCTACAAAGGCATTTGCTTTCAAAGTCACCTCTTCGACTCTGGAAAGGTTCAAGCTTATAGCTCGGGTTGCTTTCTCTCCCTAAAAGGAAACACAGACTATAAGAATACGTTCACATAACTTAGAAAAAGGTGAAAAAAGCAGTGACAAACATTAGAATAAAAAAATTTCCTCCATATTCATACCTTTCGGACTGTCAGCAAGTTGATGACATCATCAGGATTCTTTACCCTGCTGCGTTTCCCAACATCTACTTCCTCATTGACAACATTCCAAGCCATTTCTCTTAACAGATCATGCACAAGAATTACCTCACCATTGTTCTTGTCCAACTCACAAATAAACATGGACTTATCAATTAAATCCTGCACTCTACTATGTGCAGAGATATAACTAGTTTCCAAATATTTTGTCAGGTAAGATCTCAATATTTCGTGGAAGGAACAAGCAACATCTAAAAACAATCTTCTATCATCATCTCCTAACCCATCATAGCTTTTCCTAAGAACATGATGAATTTCTGGTTCTTGGATCTCGCGCAATTTGCCCAAGAAGCTCTCCCAATACTTCCTGTCCTTGGGTAACAAAGTACCCCCTAAAACTTTAAGGGCCAAGGGGTTTCCCTTGCAGTATGATACAACTTGGCTCGACAGATCAGCCCAGTCATCAAGGCGAGAGCTAGGTTCGAAACCATGCAGTTTAAAGAGCCGAAGAGAATCAACATCATTCAGACCATCAACTAGGTGTATCCCTGCCTTTGCATATTCAAGCACCTTTTGATTTCTAGTAGTCACAATGACTCTACTCCCCACAGCAAAAAGTTTGGAAAGATTCAAGGCATCTCCCAAAAGCAATTTCTCTAATAGGAAAGGAGTTTCCACGTCGTCGAGAACAACAAAGACCCTCAAGCGGGAAAGTCGTGCCCTTCTATAACCAATATTCAAATCTTCAGGCTTTAACTTTTCCTCAGACAACAATGCCGAATAGAGTTCCAGTACCATTCCTTCAACCCCTTTTTGCTTATCACAATTTTCACCAATCCTCTCAACAAAATGAAACTTGGTGTCTTTAGTTATGAATCTCAACTTTTCGTAGCAAGTTCTAGCCAGAGTTGTTTTTCCTACACCACCCATTCCTCGAAGCCCAATAATCCGAACACCATCCATTTTGTTCATAGCCAGTTGTCGCTCGACCTCCAAAACCCGTGAATCCATACCTACCAAGTTGCTCAACTGGATGCCAGACGACATGGCTGCTAGAGTTCTCAGAACATCTTCCACCACCTGCTTAACTAATTCAGCATCATCCCTAAGATTCCAGAGGTAAACAGAAAAGGAAAACCACAACTAAAATTGAGAAAATGGAGGGCTCTTCGTCGGTTCCATCTGTCACATTGTAATTTACTGCTATATAAAAATGAATCGGAGAAACATACTTGCTCATAAACCCTTAAAATTTCACGAGAAAAGCAGTACTCACGGGATAGCCTCAGAGGTACGGCCAGTCTTATGAGCCACAGCCTTCAAAGCATCCTTCCAATTCCTCTTCCGCTCTTCGGTGGCCTTTTCGTCGACGAGTTTCGCGATGGTGTCCGCATATTCGCCGGATTCACCAGCCACGGCGGTCCAATTCACTCTGTAGAAAACCGGCATGGCCTTGTGTCCGAATTGTTCCACGCTTCGGGCAATGGTCTCCACCTCGTCCAGACACCAGGTCGAATCGGCGAAATTCTTCGAGAATATCACCACCGAGACCGCCGATCTTTTGAGGATGGAGAGGAGCTCGGCGATGTCCTCCGTCACAGTAAGCATTGTGTCGACGAAGAATCTGATTTGCTTCTGGCGGAGAGCTTCCCTCAGGTGGCTCATGAAATTGAGCCGCGTGTCGCCTCTGAAACACAAGAAGACGTCGTATTCCCATTTCCCGGTGTACGGCCGAGGATGATACGATGACGAGGAAGACGACGCCATCGAGAAAGTCGGAGAGGTGACTTGCGAGTCCATAAATTTCCTAATTTATAATCCGTTGTGGAGTGAATTGTTACACTTTCATATTACAGGGACCAAAGGAGACATAAATCCCGAATTTAGAAACCCAAACGATGGCGCAAACTGCAAAACAAACGAAACATAGCGCCGCTTTTTCTCGACCGAGGAATCATCAATGGAAGCCACTCAATTTCTTCATCTCTCTCCCAATCTCCAATTTCTCCCTTCAAATCCTCTCATCAGCACCACCACCAATCACCAATTCCGCAAGTTCAAATCTTCCGTTGCAACTCCAGAGCTCGTCTCTCAGAACTTCACCAGGAACTCGCCAAGGAAACATTTCTTCCGAGGCCGTCCCAATCAGCAGCGGCGGCGGAAGAAGTCATTCAAGGAGAAAGATGCCTTCCCGGAATCGCTGCCGCTCCACAATCGAAACCCACAAGCCATTTACAAGGATATCCAGAGACTGGCCAGGATGGACAAGCTTGAGCAAGCTCTGGCTGTCATGGACTACGTCGAGCAGCAGGGGATCCCTGTAAATGCCACCACTTTTTCGGCCCTCATTGCGGCTTGCATTCGGGCGAAGTCGCTGGAGGAAGGGAAGCAGGTCCATGTACATATCAGGATCAATGAGCTGGAGGACAACGAGTTCTTGAAGAACAAATTGGTACATATGTACACTGCTTGTGGGTCGATTGACGATGCCCACAAGGTGTTCGACGAATTTCCTTCGAGTAATGTGTATTCATGGAATGCGTTGATTCGGGGGACTGTGATATCGGGGAGGAAGAGGTACCAAGATGTTGCGTCTGCGTATGGGGAGATGAGGGAAATGGGTGTTCAACCAAATGAGTATACTTTCTGTAACATCATTAAGAGCTTTGCCGGTGCATCCGCGTTTAAGCAAGGGTTGAAGACTCATGCGGTGTTGGTAAAGAACGGGTTGATCGGTAGTGCGATGCTCCGAACCAGTTTGATTGATATGTATTTCAAGTGTGGCAGGATCAAGCTAGCCCACATGGTCTTTGAGGAAATGTCTGAGAGAGACATTGTTCTGTGGGGTGCGATGATTGCAGGGTTCTCCCACAACAGGCGCCAACTCGAGGCATTGGATTATGTAAGGTGGATGGTGCAAGAAGGGATACACCCGAACTCGGTGATCTTAACGACGATTCTCCCAGTGATCGGTGAAGTGCAGGCTAGGAGAATAGGGCAGGAAGTTCATGCTTTTATCTTGAAAACAAAGAACTATTTCACTCAGCTACCATTGCAGACTGGATTGATATCCATGTACTGCAAATGTGGCGATATGGTCTCAGGTAGGAGGGTGTTCTACAGCTCCAAGAACAGGAATGTGATTTCCTGGACCGCTTTAATGTCGGGTTACGTATCAAATGGACGATTCGAGCAGGCTTTGAGATCAGTTGTCTGGATGCAACAGGAAGGTTTCAAACCGGACGTCGTCACAGTAGCTACAGTCCTTCCAGTTTGCGGAAAGCTGGGAGCCATAAATCAGGGGAAAGAAATCCATTCCTATGCCGTGAGAAGGTGCTTCTTTCCTAACGTATCAGTGACCACTTCTCTCGTGAAGATGTACTCGGACTGTGGCATCATGGACTATTCAGTCAAGCTGTTTGATGCCTTGGAGAGGAGAAACGTCATATCATGGACAGCCATGCTGGATTCCTACGTGGAAAAAGGGTTTACCGACGAAGCATTCCAACTCTTCAGGTCAATGCAGCTTTCAAAATCCCGGCCCGATTCTATCACACTAGCTAGGATCTTGACAGCTTGTGGAGAATCCAAAGCTTTAAGGCATGGGAAAGAGATCCATGGACAGTTACTGAAGAAAAGACTCGAGTCCATCCCTTTTGTTTCAGCAGCGACCATTAAAATGTATGGAAGTTGCGGGTTGATTCATTACTCAAGATCGGTCTTTGATGCGTTATCTATCAAGGGTTCGATGACATGGACTTCCATTATAGATGCACATGGGTGTAACGGTCTGTACAAAGATGCAATCAGGCTTTTCGAGGAGATGACATCTCACGGTTGCACTCCCAACCCGTTCACATTCACCGTATTGTTGTCAATCTGCGACAAGGCAGGATTTGCTGACGAAGCTTGCCGGATTTTCGAAGTGATGACAAGGAAGTATGGTCTTGATGTTTCGGAAGAGCATTGTTCTATCATGGCTGGACTTCTCAGCTCTTGTGGTCGATCTGCAGAGGCTGAAAGGTACGCAAGGTTAGTCATGTTGTAACTTGTAACCTTAATGCATTCTTGTGGTTAAAGGGGCATATGCTTGTGGTAAGAATGCATCCATGTTGCTGTGCGATAGTGAAGGGCTTTATCTATTCTGCACTGCAAAGAACATCTGTGTTTAAGCCTGCGTTTCAAGCCTCAACAAGTATCTTATACACATCTGTTACAAAAATCACTGCATTTTGTAACTACTAAACTACCACGTCATGACTACAGTCTACAAGACCTGATTGATGTAAGGAACTCTGAACTGAAAATTTGTGGGGCAAATCCATGTAAAAACATGGCCATAACGAAAACTGTATCTTGAAGAGTGAGTGAGTGACTGAGGAAGACATTATCATAGACGCAGAATCCTGGGAGGAATGATATGCTTGGCTGGGTCCGGAATTATATCATCAGGGCCGAGGTTATCAATCGGCGGTCGCTGCTTATGGTGATCCGTCACCGACTGGTACACCATTGCCAGCGCCAGTGCCTACAAATATATATGTTTACCACATCAGCAGATGGCACAGATAAGCATTGCATACTGGGTTTAACTGAACATGAATGAGTTCTCGAGTTTGAGCGGTCAAGGAGGCTTACAATGTGGTCGCCATCGGGTGGAGCGTAGATCCCTGTGGTGATGGTGCTTCTTCTCCTGGTACCTGCTGGAGGCGGATCGGTGATGTTCTTGAACCCAGTAGGAACAACCATGACCGGCAATCCAACTAGATTACCCAAACATACTTTCTCCCAATCCGTGACATTTCCGATGAATGCATCTACTGTGAAGCCTTCTTTCACTTCCCTGATCAGCTTCCCTCTGGCTCTTTGAGCCTGGAGGTAATCCACAGCTGGGATTACCCGAGCACGTCGGAGCTCAGTGGGCCATTGATCCTGAGCTTCATAAGTGTCGTCTAGCCCATCTCGCTGCCACTTGTCGAAGTGGGCCAGCATGTCGACGTCCATCGTGAAGTTTAGGATCCCTTGGACGGAATCCACTGTGTAGTTAAGTTTGTAAGGAACCATTTTCACGCCCTTTGACTTGAGCACATCCACAACCTGCCATAATCATACAAGATCATTGTGAAATGAGAGCATATATATCTTATGGACATTATGTATATATCTGAAAATGTGGCTCGACTTTCTCCGCAGACCTCCATTTCTGCGTCATCCAGATACCCGACAGTGAGTTTCGTAATATCTACTGAAAACGGGTCGTGAAGAGGAACATCTCTGGATGAGATATCGTTAGAATCTTTCCCACGAATGGCATCAAGAACAATGGAACAATCACGGGCGCTTCTGCAGAAAGGGCCAAGCTTATCCTGTTCCAGAGATAAAAATATCAGAACAACAAACATGCAGTTCTGGAGTAAGAGTGGTGCGCGTGGGGGATCTACGGGAAGGTAAATCAGAAATGGTCACCAAGCTTTCAGATATGCTCATCACACCAGTTCGGGCAACAGTGCCAAAAGTTGGCCGAAATGCAGTCACCCCACAACGGGCAGCAGGATACGTGATCGATCCGGCTGTTTCAGAACCAATTGCAAAGGGAACCATTCCTGTTTTTTCACAAAACAAATCCCCAGTTCTAAGAACCACATGCCAAATTAGCCTCACGAAGACCAGAAGGGTTTAACAAAAAGACATTACCAGCTGAGGTGCTGGAAGCAGGTCCGGCAGATGAACCAGTGGAGAACTCTTCAATGTTCCAAGGATTTCTCGTCCGACCTCCAAACCAGATGTCATCGTAGGCAAGGGATCCTGAAACGAGCTTAGCAACTAGAACTGCCCCTGCAGCCCTCAACCTGCAGTTGGGAAACAAACAACACCACTATAGGGTCCCAAAACTAAAGACACCTATAAAATAACTCTTCACTTGGGTTTACTGAGCTGCTGCTACTACTACTATAACTACCTTTGGTAGACTGTGGCTTCCATGTCAAGGATTTGGTTCTTGAAACTTGTTGACCCCCATGTTGTTTTGTATCCAGGTACTGCTATAATGTCTTTCAACCCGTAAGGTATTCCATGGAGAGGTCCTGCAGTAACCACACCATCACAAGACATAAGACTTCCCAGAGCTAACGAGCGAAAGGCGAACTGATTGCATCGGGTGGATGGAGAGAGTCACAAAAAAAAATTACCCAGATAATCTCCTTTGGCAAGCAATTCATCAGCTTTTTTGGCTTGCTCATAAGCCAAGTCTTCTGTAATTGTGATCACAGATTCAAGAGCTCCATTATACCTGGCTTGTTTCCACAAACCAAATTCATTCATTATTCACAAAAATGCTTCTTTCATTTCATTGTATAATTCTCTCTCTCTCTCTCTCTCTCTCACTCACTCACCTCTTCAATCGATGCAGGAAAATTGTGGTTAGTTCATGAGATGTAACTTGCTTGGTCCGAAGAAGCTCCCCTAGTTCAAGTATCTGCCGAAACCAACAAAATTCATAAGCACAGGAAGAAAAAAAAACTCCATTACTGTTCTGTTTTGCAGCAGCCAGCCTCGGAGAATCTTCTTACCTCCATAAAGGCAACATCCTCGTCATTTTCAGGCCTCTTGACGCCGGAGAGGGAAGGGTACTTAAATCTCTTGACAACGGCATTCTTCCCAACAGCTCCACCACCATGGCTGCTGCCCCACTCCGAGTTAAAGACCAAACAAGACGGATTCTGCAGCCCGCCGTTCTCCAAAGCAACCGACTTCCTGTTAGATTCTGCAATCGGCAGGTTAAACTCCACCGCTTCTTCAGCAACTTTCAGCACCTTGGCCTCACTGAAGAACCCGGCGTCGAACACCTTGAACGCTTCCCTGAGTTCCGAACCTTTACCGCCGTCCTGAGAAGAGACAAAAAAAGCTGAATCCCCAGCAAAACAAAAATGGAGCCAAGTCGAGAAATTTCCCCCTTTTGCTGATGAAAATCGGAACTGTTACTGCTACTGCTACTACCACTAGTCCACTACCTGGGCGCTTGATTTAAGCGTACGAACCCAAACTCTCCCACGAAACCTTTCGCATAAGTTCTTAATCAAAAAGGGTTTCATCGGATTTCTATGAACCGATTGATTCTGGTCAACTGGGTGGAGATGATGAACACAGTAGAAAGTTCGAGGAGAAGAGGAAAGAGAGAAGCGAAGATATGATGGGATGTTCGGAGATACCATGAATCCGTTACTGTTACTACTGCTACTCTGAGCTAGAATACGCCAGCTGAGTGAAGTGGGGGAGGAACCGATCCCTGCGGCGGCGGTGGAGCAAAGGGCAGCTGACTCGGAGAGAATCAACCACGACGAAAAGGTCAGAGCGAAGCAGAGGAGGAAACGTGTCATCCCGATTGGCGACGAAGGACACGAGGCGAGCGCCATGGCCGCCATGTAAGCTTGAAGAATTCAGATTAGTAGAGGTGAGTGATCATGGAGATTTGGATTCGTGCTTAACGAAACGGCCATGGCCGCCCATCAAGTCCTTTTTTGGTTATTTTGTATTATGAAAAAGATACACTTGCGTAATTTGACTAATTTCTGTATTAGATAACTTGAATTTGGTCAAGTTGTTGTTTGATTCTATTGTTTTTAATCCTTTTTATGAATAAGTTGAATTTGAGAGTGAGTTTGATGCATTTTGTAAATTTGTTTATCACAAGGTTGAATTGGAAGTTGAAGAATAGGGATGGATCTTTGCGTATTCGATTTGAAAAGAGTTTGTTCGATAGTTGACTTGTTTACTAACTAATCGAGTTTGAATTAAGTGATGTTTAACTTACAAGGCTCACGAGCCAGTTCAACTAGGTTGTTTTAACTTGTGAGCTAGCTCGTTTTGAGCTATGAGTTGGCTAAACGTTGTGATTAGTGAGTCACCTTAGCTAGTTGCTTAGGAGCAAATCGATTTGTTTTTTTATGAGATGACTTGTTGATAATTCATGTGTTTACAACTGGGAGTACGTGAAAAAATATGTCTCATTTATAATTTATATTAATAAATTGTTAAGACACTAATTACTATTAAATCACATTATATGAATCGTCAATATTTATGAACTAAAAAATAGGCATGACACCGAAGCTCAAGTTGGTCTGGCGAGTTGGTTGACGAGTCGATTGAGTTCCGTGTAGAGATGGCAAAAATATTCGTAACCGTGGATATCCGCCCGAATCCGACCTAATCGGGTAGGGTAAAACCCGAACCCGAAGGCCTTTTAGTGGGTACGGGTAAAACCCGAACCCGAATATTGCGGGTAATGGGTGGGCATGGTTTTCTCACTATCCAACCCAAACCCGCCCGATTATACACATGCATATGTATTTTGTCTAGAAATAATTAATATTTTTCTCTTACATATTTTATATTTAGCATATACATATAATAGTTTTATGAAATTGTGTTTTTTTAATTAATTTTCTTCATTCTAGCGAATTATTGTCGTACTTTTCGTCTTACGTAACGTGAGAATACGTGTCAATATTAACATATTGGTTGGAGTTATAAAGAGAAACTATTACCCATGGATAACCGTGGATACCCGAAACCCGAACGGGTATGAGCATGGTTTAGATTTTCTACCCGTTTCTTATGTGGGTATGGGTATGGGTAAAACCCGAACTACTCTGGGTAGGGTAGCGGATATGCACTATCCGTCCCCGACCCGACCCATTGCCATCCCTACCGTGGTTGGCCTACTAACCATGTGAGCTCATTAATGAGTTGAGGCTCAATCAAAGTTTCAGTAAACGAGCCGATATCGACTCTTTTGTTAGATCAACTGAAGTTAGATTAGAACTCGATTGGACTCATTTGCAGCCCTATCTCAAAGGGCTCCTTTGAAACAAACTTAAAAAAACAGCATTAAATTGTTAATGTTTAAAGTCAAATTTCATGTTATATTTATTATATACAATTAAAATCGAGGGCATATACCATAGACATATACATTACTTTAATCCAATTCAAACTACCCATCAAACATTTTCCAAAATGTCAAAACTTTCTCCATCAACCATTTTTATGTCTTGTAAATGTCTAACTAGACATCTTGATTAAGATTAAGAAAGTTTTAATGTGCTTTTGCTGGTATTAAGAAAGACTTCTTCAAGTTCACATTCAATTTTCTTTAATCCTTTACACCCACGCATGCCCATTTCAAGAGGAGGCAGAAAATCTACGAAGACTTGAAAGCTCAAAGTAGGCAAGGACAAGAAGGCCCAGGCACCGGCATTCTAGTACCTGTCCGTGGCCCACGAAATCATTTCAGAATCCAAGATTGGGCCAGAATCCTTCCAATGGGCCGTCGAAGAGTGTCCAAACTATTTTAACCAGATTTTGACCATCAAATTTGTACCAAAAGAAAAATATATTTATACACATTTGACCATCACAGACCATTGTTGATTGCTATGTCTCTTAATTATATTAGATATATTGTAGTCGCCTAATTTAATAATCATTAACCATAATGAATCTCCCCATAAATTGTTTACTGTTTTATGCGACTACTAGTAACAATAGGGTTGCTGGTAACTACGTTTATCTTGTATAGGCGATCAAATTTGTATCACCCTTTCAGAAAGGAATGCGAATCTCAGCTAATTATCAAGGAAAAGATTTCATTGTATGCATAAATAGACCCTTCTATACATCCCCAAGTCGCACATAAAATAAATATGTCGTTAATAGTTGTGAGGGATTGGTCTTATATTAATACGATGATAATAACATTCAATACATCTCGACCTCCCACATAAGACCTCGGTCAAAGGAAAACTTCGACCCCACATCATAGTATGTATTCTCCCGTTATTGGAAGAAGAAGAAGAAGAAATTGACAAAAAAAAAAATGTGTTCGAACTCAAAATTTCGTCATATGCATATGTAACATGCAACTACCTCAACTCCGATTTTATTGAAGAAGTTTTTTTTTTATCTCGTTTACAATATCCACCCATGAATTTTAAGTAATAGTGTATGCTGAATACTGTATGTGTCGGCTAAGGAGAGAAAGGGAAAACCAAAATGGGAAGAAAGTAAAAGGTTCCTGCTACTAATTGTATTTGGTCAACCAGAAAATTAGTGTATGATCAATATCTTTGTTCAGGTGTGTGTTGCAGCTGTTTTCCCCCTTTGTCATCTTTTCATTAAACTAATCGAAACGAGCTTCAAAACTACTTTCTTCTGGCCTAAACCTAATCTGACATTGGAAAGCATAGCTTTGGACTAAGCTAAGAACTTGAGGCCCTACATATTCATCAGATTCATCCTCTCTAATCTAATTCTTTTTACCCCAAAACATGAACTTGAGACATGGATTCTTCTTCAATTAAGTCCCCACCACCACGACCACTCCCATTAGATTAGATTCTCATGGCATATAATAGATTTTGTGTTTGTTGTTTCCGATGGTGCACCTGTTTAACTAGTAAACCATATGGAGTCTCGAAAATTTTCCACTATTCCTATGAATCGATTGTTGTGTTCGTGTAGTATCAACCGAAATCATCTTCAGGCCCATCTCTTCGCCTTGATAATCTATTGTCTTCGATAGATATTGAGCTAGATTTGTATATCATACAACTGAATGAAACCATCCATACGTTTCTTCTCCACCGAGCATATATGTTAGGCTCCAATCATGGAAGCCTGATTCTGCAACATCCCTCGATATGATTAAAATGACGAGCTAGTCATGTTGATCGATATGATCAAATTTCGCGCTTGAGACCGTACCCTAACACCACACTTGCAAGAACATTAGCTTCTATAAGTTTCGAGCAACATTGGAAAGGAGAAGAGCTTCATCAAAGAAACTAGAAGAAAAACAACGGAGAAAAGAAGAAGAAAAATGTAGACATGCAGTATGTTAACAGGCTTCAGATCATAGATAGTTCACGTCTAATCCTAATAGTGGTTGTGTATCTAGACCTGTACGGCTAGGTATTTCTCATTCGAGTCTATGCACGATATGTTACACCGTACCCTAAGTAAAATATTAAAAGAAAGCACTTTTACAAGATCAAAATACGTAAACCATACACACTCTTCCAAACTCGACAGTAACCCAACCCGTAAAAGAAAACTCAACCCACTATATAATCGCCACAAAAACACAACATTTCTCAATAACCCGAGTTGTTGAGTGAATATGATTTATGGATTATATACTACTCATTAGCATAATCCTTCAAAGGAAAGCTTACTCATATGCGATTAAAGTTTGCAGGTCCTGATACCATGTCAACAACCAGTTGATCCAAAAAATTGAGTTACAGTGAGATTGAATGGCAAATGCTTGTAGGCATCCTTAGTTTACCCAATGAGGAATCACAAACCAAAGAATCAATGCTACGATCACAAGTCTCCCACAGGCAAGCCGCACTTGCAATGGAAGTGAATGCAACTAATGATTTGCTTGTTGAAGGGGGAGAATTAAGCAAAGAAATTAAAGACAACCCAGTTATTTATTAGTGTCATTATGAAGTTGAACTTCAACCTAGCTAGATCGATTTTTTTTTTATATCTTTCTTAGTATAGACAACAGCAACCTTATTTGATGCATATGTTAATGTTTTATACACTGAAAAAGCTCTGACTCGGTCTTTGGAGCAAGTCATTGTGAAGCTGAACTTCAACGGGGTTGAGTTTTTTTGCAATGGTCACATATATGGTTGGAGATTACCATGATCCAGCTGTTCTCGATTACATGCAAAACACTAATTAAATTGGGTCATTATGGCTTAATTAATTAAGTATATTCGTGGTCTAATTAATATGTTGGTTGATGACAAGTAGTTTTCACTCGCTACATACACCGACTTTTCACTCTATACTCTATATATGATACCCGTTGAATAGAGAAGAGGAGATATTTTAGATGAGTTTTGCTTTTTTAATTGGATAACCGCCAATCTAAGTAAATTTTGGTGCGGATATGGATTTGATTTAGTGGTAAATTTTAGGTTGGAAAATGATCCTTATGATCTAACATTAAATTGATAATCGACCTGAATTTTTCGTCCTAGTCTAATACATAACAATTTTTGCTCGTCGCCACGTGACCAAGCTAAACTCATAATAAACTTTATACTTTTCGAGAGGTTGGACGACTGTGATTATGATTGCTAACAACCCGTAATGGATGATTGATTGGCGAGTCATTCGCTACTTGAAATAACTCGTCCGGTGTACTATGATATGGTTCAACCGGTTTGTCAGGTTAAATGTATATCATGCTAATGTTATACTTCAAGTTCACTTCATCTAAACTATAACAAACTAAGAAATTACCCATAAATTAAAAAGAAAATCCCAAGTGATTAAAGCATTGTTATGTTTTGAGCATTAACCACCAAAAGAGTATCAATATTAGAGTCACATTACATAACCATAAAGGTATAAATCTTAATTTGAGCCTGAGTCACGTGGGATGAGAAAGAATAATCTATTAGTGTCGCATAAAAATAATTTTCGGATTGATTACATATATTGCAACTGGATTCCAAATTATAGTGGGATGAGACGGCATGAACTTTACTTTATTATATTAAAATTGTTGAATGGTGAAAGTATATATATGGAGGAAGTAAAAGAATGAAGTTCAAAGAAATCGAATTGTTTTAGATAACTTGATGGAGTAATATCTTTCATTAAGTAAATCTAAAATTTATTACTGAGTTATATCAATCATCATCGTCTTAACATAGTTTCACTTTCAATATTGATTGTCGTATTTGAATTCTCACAACATTAATATTCTGCTAAATATAATCATTGGTACGATCAAATTGTAGAAACATTTTGTATAATTAGATCGTACGAATTTCGAGTCTATCAATTGAGCTAGTTTGACAGGTAAATAGAAGTATGTGAAATTCATGATTATTTTTTTTAACAACGTAAATTTATACTATATATATGTACACATGGCGGTCGCATATATACATGCAAGTATTCAATACTGGCAGAGTAGCATTGACATTGCCATGAGACAGGGAGGATCTTATGGAGGAAGAGTCGAGTATAACCATATGTATGAAGAAGATGATAAACATCATATTTCATGCTCAAGCCTCGAAGTTGAGTTTCCAAAATTCGATGGACAAGAGGAAACATACATGTAGTTATACGGCGCATAAACGTGGTTTAGCCACCAGGGAACTAGATAAGAGAGGAATGTGCATTTGGCCTATCTCTACTTGGAGGTCGAGGCACAACATGATGGGAGTGGATAGAGAGTATCCTAGAGGACAAGTTGCTGATCACCTGGCAGAGATTCAAAGACGATCTTCAGGTGTAGTTCTGAAAATTAGATGGTTCGGCCTTAAAAAACAACTAGTGAAGTTCAAATACTGGATTCCAAATTGAGTATGTAGTGTTAGGGAATATGTGCAGAGTAGTTCAATTAGAGACTTTGGTAGGGATCTATTTGGCATGTTTAGATCCGAAAAGTAATTACTGTAGCTAAGGTGTTTGAACCAAAATAATTTAGGGTCGCCTCGAGGATAGCTAGGAGGAAGGCAGAGCAATCGACTAGTTGGAAAGAGAGTGTTTGGCAAGTTTGAGACGACCACGGGTGGGGTGATACAGGAGGAGGAGTCATGAGTCATGACCGCCACAACTGTTGAGACGACAATGCAAGTAGGGGCGGCTCTGATTTCCCAGCGACCTGGTGGGATAGAGGGGCACCTCGTGTTACGTTTCGAGTAGATTTCTTTTCTTAAACATACCATCAAATGATTAGTGATTCCAAATATTAGTTTGGCATGTTCCTCAAAAAAAATATGTAGGAGGAAGTCCACCTATGAATTCCAACTTATCACCTCCAAATTCATTGGTGACCCTAAAACATTATCATCAAATTATATGAAAATAGTATATTCTTGCAACCCAACTTATCAACATTGTATTTTAGAGCATTTGATCAGCAGGTATTGCAGTCGAGAATCAATAGAGAGCTCTGTTACTAGCAATTGATCCAAGTACTGTTGAGCTTCATTGAAATCTGATGAAGATGAAAGGAAAGGGTGTCCTGGATTTGAATCTGCAGGAGCAGAGTGTTCAAGAGAAGATGGCGCCAATGTTGCAGAGTTTGAATTCAGAGGAAGAACAGTTCGCTTGAAACGTTTCGGAGTGGCGGCCGTTTCATTTACAGTGGAGCTGTGCAAGGAGCAGAACGACGACGCTTTAGTTATTCGTTTTCTTTTAACCGTTTTATGTTGTTTGGACGAATGGTGTTTAACCACGTCATTGTTACCGTTGTGAAACAGTAAATCCGGAACCATATAAATAAACGAAACCCAGCAACTGAATTAGCTGAGGATTCCAAAACCCTTCCTCCATTCTTCATTTTCTACATGGTATCAGAGCAGATCTGAAGCAATGGCGGAAAACCAAGGTCCAAATCGGGCTCAACCAAACACACCACCTCAAACACCACCACACAATCAAACCAATCAAACCCAACGCACTTCTCCTTTTGTGCAATTTGGTCAGTTCACTGATGGCAACAATTTCAACAACAACACCGCTTCTGCTTCTGGATCTGGGACTACTACTGCTGCTGGTGCTGCTCCAGATCCAAACTTCGGTAACCCATTCTACATTAACCCTAATGAGAATCTGGCTCAATCGGTGATTCCCATAGTCTTGGATGGTCCTAATTATCAAATGTGGTCTAAGGCTGTGAGAGTTGTGCTGAAAACAAAGCACAAGCTGGGTTTCATAGATGGGAGCATACCAGCACCTCCTCAGGGAGATCCACTGTTTCACGTTTGGGATGCTTGTAATACTATTGTTCTTTGCTGGATAACGAATTCGCTGCAGAAAGATATTGCTCGTAGTGTTCTGAGTCATGATAATGCTCAGGTTCTGTGGACTGAGTTAAAGGGCCGATATGGTCAGGCTAGTGCTCTCAAACTAGCGAATCTAGTAGATGATATCCATGCTTTTAAGCAAGGAACTCGTACAATCACTCAATACTACACAGAGATGAAAGGTTTCTGGGAGGAATACAGTCAGTTTAACCCGATTGTCCCATGTGGATGTGCACCAGGCAACCCAATGCCTTGTGCTGCTGTAGAAGCTTTCAGGACAAAGCAGAATACAGAATACCTAATTCGTTTCCTAGCTGGTGTGAATCCTGAGTATGACCAGATCAAGACTCAACTTCTGCTCATGAAACCACTTCCCACAGTGGTTATGGCGTTTGATGACCTCTTGCAGCATGAGCAGAAACTCAAGGCAGAAGGCAGTCTCAAGCAGAAAACAGGACATTCAGTGGCATTAGCTGTTGGAGGAAACAATTCCAATAGCACACCTCCAAGAGCTAACAGAGACAACCCACCTGCTAAGGGAGATAGAGAAGAACTGTTTTGCAACTATTGCAAGAAAACCAATCATGTCATCAAGGATTGCTGGAGGCTTAAGAAAAAGAAGCAGGATCGAGAGAATGCAGAGAATGCAGGAAGATTTGCAGGTTCTGTTGGTCAGAACATTGGGTCTGAAGAAGGGAGTCAGACTGAAGGGTTGCATATTGAGGTTGGCAACAGGTTTGCCAGTCCAGTTGGAGGGTTTACTGCAGAAGAGATGAGCAGGTTGAGAAGCATTCTGCAGATGTCCAATTCCACTTCTCCAACTTCACCTCAGAGTCCAGTAATCAATCATAGGGCACACTCAGTCACTACACATCTTCCTGCCTTCCCAAACTCTGCAGGTAAATATGTCCTGTCTTCCACTTGTTCTCATAATGTCTTGTCTTCAACTTGGATATTGGACACAGGTGCATCAGATCATATTGCTTGTTCCCTTCATTTGTTTCATAAAAGTCTTCCAGTGTCTGATGTCTATGTCTATCTCCCTAACAAAACTAAGGTCCTAGTTAGTCATATAGGATCAGTTAAGCTCACCCCTGGTCTTTTCCTTCACAATGTCCTCCTGGTACCCAGCTTTACCTTCAATTTAGTCTCTGTCAGTAAGCTGACACATGATTTGCCCATCTCACTTCTCTTTCAATCTAATGTTTGCCATATTCAGGACCTGATATCAGCCAGGATGATTGGTTTGGCTCAAGAAACTAAAGGCTTGTACCACTTCATTCCACCAAATACTTCCAGTTCATCATCCTACACTTCATTTCCTCCCCAAGTTGCCTCTGTCTACAACTTTGAACCTCAGAAGATTGCCTTGTGGCACTGGCGCTTAGGACATCCTAGTTCCAATAGATTTCAGCTTATTAAAGACTGTAATCCTAGTATTCCTAAGGAAGTCATTAAACACTGTGAACACTGCCATCTTTCTAGGCAGAAAAAGCTTCCTTTTCCTTTGAGTAATAGCTATGCTGCAGACATTTTTGAATTAATTCACGTGGACATCTGGGGTCCTTTGTCTGTTCAGTCACATGATGGTTTTTCTTTCTTCCTCACCATTGTTGATGACCATTCAAGAGCAGTTTGGCTCTATCTTATGCACCATAAGTCTGAAGCTCGTTCTCTTCTTATTGGTTTCTGCAATATGGTGCAAACTCAATACAATAAAACAGTAAAAAGGGTGAGGAGTGATCAAGGAAAGGAGTTCTTAATGTGTGATTTTTATACTGAGAGGGGAATTGAACATGAGATGTTCTGCGTTTACACACCTGAACAAAATGGGCGGGTAGAACGTAAACATCAACACATATTAAACGTTGCTAGAGCCATTAGATTTCATTCAGGTGTGCCCTTGCCATTTTGGAGTGACTGTGTCCTACATGCAGTCTATATCATCAATAGACTGCCTACTCCTGTGCTGCAGAATCAATCCCCATTCCAGATTTTGTACAAGACATCACCTTTCCTTGGTCATTTAAAGGTTTTTGGCTGTTTAGCCTATGCCACTAGTCATGCTCAAGGTAGAACCAAAATGGAACCACGAGCAAGACAGTGCATCTTCTTAGGTCTTCCTGCAGGAATCAAAGGCTATAAGCTCTTTGATTTGAACTCACATGAGTTCTTTGTGTCACGAGATGTTACCTTTTATGAGGACATCTTTCCCTTTAAAACCACTTCAGAACAAGAAAAGGTGTCTGAACCCTCACAGGAGCATTTCTTCCCAGCACCTGTAACACCTTCTGATGTTCCACAAAATGTCATCAATCCATCTCATAGGAGATCCAGTCATGTCAGTAGTCCTCTCAATGATAGAAATCCTAGTCATGTCAGTAGTCCTTCCTCTTCAGCAAATCAAAATACCCATATAGCTGATCCTAGTTCCTCAAACAGTAGTCCTTCTCACTTGACTGATGCATCTAATGTTCTATATTCTGAGTCTGATGATGATGATGCTATGAGTAATGTGGAAATGGATGATTGTGTGGATGATTCCCATGAACCAGAGCTTATAGCTCTTGAAGAAAGTGAAGCAGAACCACAGGTTCGAGAAAGGCCTCACAGGAGTATTGTGCCACCAGCAAGGTACAAAGATTATTACCTGGGAGCAGTCAGCAGGTATCCTATGAATGAGTATGTTGGATATGAAAGGTTAACAGCAGAAAGGAAAGCATATGCTTTAAGTATGACAACTCATCTGGAACCAAGAACCTTTGCTGAGGCTCAACAGGATGAAAACTGGAATAGAGCTACACAGGAAGAGTTGGGAGCTCTCATTGCCAACAACACATGGGAAGTGTGTAAGTTGCCACCTAACAAAAAGAAAATAGGTTGCAAATGGGTATGGAAACTTAAGCTAAGACCAGATGGAAGGATAGAGAGGCATAAAGCCAGACTGGTTGCAAAGGGATACACACAGGTATATGGTGTGGATTTTCTTGACACTTTCTCTCCAGTAGCTAAGAACAACACTGTTAAAACACTACTGGCAGTGGCAGCTATCAAGGATTGGAGTCTAGAGCAGATGGATGTTTCAAATGCCTTCTTGAATGGAGATTTAGAAGAAGATGTTTACATGGAGATACCTCCAGGACTAGTTATTGAAGGTGATACTACTGGTCTTGCTTGCAAACTAAACAAGTCTTTGTATGGTTTGAAGCAAGCCAGCAGGCAATGGTTTGCCAAGCTGACAACATCATTATTAAAGAATGGTTTTACTCAATCTGCCTCTGACTATTCCTTGTTTGTTAAATGGGTGCAAGGCAGAATAGTAGTTCTGCTGGTATATGTGGATGATATTATCTTAGCAGGTCCAAGATTGGGAGACTTGGAGGCTGTCAAACACTACCTGAAGAAGGAGTTCAAAATCAAGGACCTAGGTGCATTGAAGTACTTCCTGGGACTTGAGATTGCAAGAAACACTTCTGGAATCAGTGTGTCACAAAGGAAATACTGTATGGATCTTCTTGAAGACACTGGTTTCACAGATGCAAAGAGTTGTAAAAGCCCTATTGACTGCAAGGTTAAGCTGAATGCAAGGGATGGGGAGTTGTTGAAAGATCCAGGCATTTACAAAAGGCTTGTTGGAAGGTTGCATTACCTGACAGTTACAAGACCAGACATAGCTTACCCTGTACAACAGCTAAGTCAGTACCAGATTCAACCACGGGAACCACATTTGCAGGCTGCTTACAGAGTTTTGAGATATCTCAAAGGGTCACCAGGTCAGGGATTGCATTTCAAATCAAAGAGTGACCTGTTGTTAAAGGGTTTCAGTGATGCTGATTGGGCAGCCTGCCCTGACACACGAAGATCTATTACAGGCTATTGTACCTACCTGGGAGATTCTCTACTTACTTGGAAGTCCAAGAAGCAAACCACAGTGTCTCGTTCATCCTCTGAAGCAGAGTATAGGGCTCTAGCCCACCTGGTTTGTGAGGTACAGTGGCTGAAAAGGTTAATTTCAGAACTTGGAATTACATTACCATCTCCAGTGAATGTTTATTGTGATAACATGTCAGCAATACAGATTGCTGACAATCCTGTTTACCACGAAAGAACAAAGCACATCGAGATTGATGTGCACATTACCAGGGAAAGAGTTAAGTCAGGACTGATCAAGCTAAAGTATCTGAGAAGCGAAGATCAGTTGGCTGATCTCTTCACAAAGGGACTCAGTCGTTACAGGTTGCAATTTTTGCTCGACAAATTGGGCGTAACAAATGTATACGCGCCAATTTGCGGGGGCGTGATGAAGATGAAAGGAAAGGGTGTCCTGGATTTGAATCTGCAGGAGCAGAGTGTTCAAGAGAAGATGGCGCCAATGTTGCAGAGTTTGAATTCAGAGGAAGAACAGTTCGCTTGAAACGTTTCGGAGTGGCGGCCGTTTCGTTTACAGTGGAGCTGTGCAAGGAGCAGAACGACGACGCTTTAGTTATTCGTTTTCTTTTAACCGTTTTATGTTGTTTGGACGAATGGTGTTTAACCACGTCATTGTTACCTTTGTGAAACAGTAAATCCGGAACCATATAAATAAACGAAACCCAGCAACTGAATTAGCTGAGGATTCCAAAACCCTTCCTCCATTCTTCATTTTCTACAAAATCTAATACGACTCGAGCTATCGGTCATATCGGCACAAACAAACAAAAAGGGGTTAAAAACCCATCAACTGTTGGATTAGTGGTCCAAAAACCATCCTCTCCAATGAAGATCCACCTCTGCACTCAGACCCTTTTGCATCACCAGAAACTCAAGAAACCGCGTTCCCAAACAGTGATTCCACATCACCACCTCCCCCAAAAATTGTTTTTTTCAAAATCAATTCTATCTAAACAAAAATTAAAAATGCTTCCTTTTTTCTTTAGTACTCTGTAGTACAGCCTCCTCTGTTTTCAGTATCCTCTGCTCTCCCCACAGCTGCCACGCCACGCCACTATCGTATTGAGCATCATCAACCCAAAATTTCCCATTTCTTATAAAAATTGAAAGGAAAAAAAGAAAACAGCTCCCTTCTGGGATTTCATCTCTATAACACACATCCGTCTCTTTCACCTCTGCAACTGCCTGGAAGCTCACATTCCTCTCCTCCCACACTGTCGGGGGTTCTTCCACGTCCGCAAAGCAAAAACCTTTCGGCACCCTTCTCCCGACATCTATAAATATGTCATTCAACGTTAATTCAAATCATCGTAGCAATCCGATCACCAGCTTCTTCTCTTCAACTCTTCCAACAAAAAAACAGAGGATCAGAAAAAACAGAGCAAAAGAATGAGCAGTGGCGGCACGGGGACACCGTCGTGCTACAGAGGGGTGAGGAAGAGGAAATGGGGGAAATGGGTGTCGGAGATCCGCGAGCCGGGGACGAAGACGAGGATATGGCTGGGGAGCTTCGACACGCCGGAGATGGCAGCCACGGCGTATGACGTGGCGGCTCTGCATTTCAGGGGGCGGGAAGCCAAGCTGAACTTCCCCGAGACGGCCCATTACCTGCCCCAGCCCGCGAGCTCTAGCCCAGATGATATTCGGGCCGCGGCCCATGAGGGAGCGGTCCGGGCTGGGCCGGTGGATGCCGGTGGAGGTTCGGGTTCCGGTGGCGGTGGTGGGGAAGAGAATGCCGGTCCCGTGACGGTGGCGCTGTCGCCGAGCGAAATTCAGGCGATCAATGAGTATCCCATGGACTCGCCGAGGATGTGGTCGTCGATGGACTATACCGCGCCGTCGTCAATGGGGTATACTGCGCCGTCGATCGACTACACGGCGCCGATGGAGTATACCGCGGCGTCGTCGGCGGATTATACGGCGCCGTCTTCGTCGTCATACAACATGGGCCAATATGGATGGGGGGACGATTATGGATATGGCGGCGGGCAAAGTGATTCTCTTTGGGATTAAGTTCTTTTATAATAAAAAAAACACGATTGATGTCTTTTTTGTCAGAAAAAAAAAATGTTTTCATTACTACCCTATTTTTCTAAAACTAAAATGACTTTAAAAATTTGTTACCAACTAAAATCTCAACTTTTAATTAATAAGTGTTCGGTCCATGTCTTGTTTCGAGCGCGAATTTTAAATTTTAACATGTTTTTGTGTTGATTTTTTCACAAAATAAGTTCTCGCTCATTTGTATTGTTCGAGATAAAAGTTTTTTCAACTGAAAACAAGAGATTAACTTGAGAAAATGTCTTTAATTTTTTTTTAACAATTGTTAAAGTCGGAAATACTCATACAATTGTTTGTCTTTTCAAGGTATTTTAATGAAACTTATAACACTATACTATACCTCTATTGTTGGATTTTAACAAGTCATCCATTTTGAATCACTTGCTAAACAAAATCTTAGATTCCATGGGAAAACCTACTTGGGAGCCTGTATTTTTCAATGGGCTGAAATGGGAAAAGTGGATGATAGAGACTTAAAATAATAGAAGAAGAAGAAGGAGAAGAATGGGTGGCTCTACATTTGGTGGGATCTTTTGCTGGCTTCCTATTGGTTGATTTATTATATGTGTGTTCCAATAATAAGTAATATCTTATACTACTAGTACTATATACAATATCCTTTTTTTGTGTGTAAGTGTTTTGGGAATGGAAGTGTTGTACTATTGGTTGGTGTTTGGATGGATTTGGATAAATAAAGTTTTATTATAGTTAATGAATAATGGTCTTATAGCCAATTGGATGAGTCCAGGCCTCTTGGAGCAAATCTCAATAAAGACGTTGAATATTTAGACAAATTTCACATTAATAAAGTATCAGAGAGAGATGCAATTAATAAGTAATATTCAATTATAATTAAGAAGTCATATTTTGTGATGAAACGGAAGAGTACTTGTAAAAATTCTGAAGTCAAACGTTCTCAATACATATTAGTACAAAGATGACAACCTACTAAGAAGTCATTATAATGCACCTGAGAATCAAAATCATACAGAGTAGACCAAAGCGGACACTATCTTAACAAGTAAAAAGTCGGGCATGTTACATTAAATTAACTAAAAAAAACTAAGTAACAAAAAAATTCAAGATTTTTCACACAATTTTTCTGAGTCGACATTTCATTCCCACAAGACAGTCCACTCACAACCAAATCTTCATAGCAATCCATGAATTGTCATGTCAAAAATCCATCGTCATTCATCAAATCTACCGTTGATCTCCGTTGCCGAGCTTGAATTTTCCTCATAGAAAGCGGAAACCGGGAAACGAACGGGGAGAACCCAAATCCTCCCCAAACCAGGAATCACACCCTCCGATATAAATCCACATCCAAACACGCCGCCAAATCCACGACCCAACGATCGAACCCTCTTCTCCTAATCAACCAACCATGGCCGCCGTCGTTAAGAAACATCAGCAGCCAGCCGACTACGCCATCCAGCCGCCGAGGAAACCCCAGCAGCGGCCGCCGGACCTCCGGCAGGAACCGTGGCTGGTGTACTCCCACGGCAAGAAGAACGACAAGAAGTCGTCGCAGACGTTCTACAGCCTGTCGGAGCCCGGCCGCGGCTACCACGTGCGGGGAATCCCCGAGCTGCGGAACCAAATCATATGCGCGTGCTCCCACGGCTGGTTGGTCCTGCTCGACCCGGTCCGAAGGGGCTGCGGCCTGCTCAACCCGGTGACCATGGAGCGGATCGGTCTGCCCGACTTGCCGGGCGAGTTCGTGGTCACGAATTGCGCGCTCTCTTGCTCGCCGGAGGAGAGTGGTGGTTGTGTTGTTATGTTTACTGAGAGGGCGAGGGGGAGCTTTGTTTACTGTAGGGTTGGTGGAAAGGAGGAGGAGGAGGGTCGTTATTGGAGGAGGGAAGAGGTAGTGGATCAAGGGAGTTGTGTTTGTGGTGAAGGAGGAGGAGGAGGAGAAGGTTTTATGTGGTGTCATGCAATGGCTAGCCTTGGTGGCGAGTTCTATGTGCTTACGAGTTGCTGTCAGAGCCTGTTCAAGGTCGAGTTCGTCGTCGAAGAAGAAGAAGAAGTTCGAGCTGGAGGCTCTGATGATGACGATGATCAGGTTGACGACGAATCGATAAGGTCAGTGATTCGGTATACGTGTAGTCGTTCCAAGATAGAGGGTACTATAATCTCTGCTAAAAAAACCCTAAAGCAGTTCCCGGAAAACTGTATTATAGTGTTTTTTACTTGCAACCCTTTTTCATTTTTTGAGTTTAACTTGTTTGTTCAATTACGCGGTGGATCGCTTAGTTAGAGAGGAAGATATCTTGCTGAATCGTTAACAGTCGGTATTATAATTTTAACATGATGTGTAGCTAGAAGCTTACTTGCATGTTGATCTTGTTTAAGCAATATTTTGGTAGATATTGGTTTAGTTTCAAGTGATTAATCAAGTAACTAATATTTGCTTTGTTTAGAGTATCATGTACGTGTGTTGTGATACTTGAATAGGTTCGTTCTTGACGTTAGTAAGTATATCATGCATGTCTTAATTCTATGGTTTATGAATGACTAATTTTCGACATGCAAAACCAGGTTAGTAGATTTGAACCTTAGAAGACCAGAGTGGACACGAACAAACCATTACATCAGAAGCACCATCGACCCCACTTGGTACCTGGTCCAGTCCTCCCCTACCGAGCTGATGATCGTCGAGGTGAACTACGGCGACCGCACCGGCGAAGAGGATTGCCTCAGGGACACCGGATGCACGGGGATGGAGCTGTACCGGGCCGATCTCGAGTCCAAATTCATCGAAAAGGTCGAATCTCTGCCCGAAGATTGTGCCATCTTTTTGTGCCACTACGGAGCCAGAAGCTTCTTCTACAAAATAATCCCGACAAGAGGAGATGATGACGACGACGAGAGGACGGGTATCCGTGGGAACACGATCTACTTCACGAAAACCATCGGCGACAGGTACCTCTACGCGTACGACGTTCGAGAGCGGAGCGTGAGCGTCTCGCTGCCTTGTCCGAACGTGAAGCGTTTCTACGATCCACCTGGATGGATCCTGCCTGCTGCTTCGCTCTCTTCGTACAAAGAAGAAACGACTTCGTCCTCATCCCCATCAGACGAAGAAGAAAACTTTCCAGTTCGTCCCAGTAACTTGAAGTACCGTTGTTGTTATCATAAGAAGTTCAAGCACCATCAACACGGGTTCCCAATCCTCATACACAAAGGACAAGATGCCGAGAGACTCAACCTGATCGACCCAACGACGACCAACTCGGTCGGCACATTGGCCCTACCCGGTTCGACCCTAACCGGTGCGGTCATCCGCTGCTCGAACCACGGGTGGTTGCTTATGACGCAAGGAAGCTTCGGCGGGGAAATCTTCTTCTTCAACCCGTTCACCAAAGAGAAGATTGTTCTCCCCGGTCTAGGCATCTACGAGTTCGAGGGGATCACATTCTCCTCCCCTCCGACGTCATCCGACTGCACGGTCTTCGGCTACTCGGTTTCCTCCCACGCCGTCTCCGTCACGTTCATTCGCCGTGGACAGCGTCGATGGACCGACTCCATGGTGGAGAGAAAAACCGGAGTCCTAAGAAACTCCCTCAGCAATCCGGTCTACCACCAAGGAAAGTTCTATTTCATGGGGACGAATGGGAACTTGTGCATTCACGACCCGAAAGAGAGGGAGACCAAGCTCATGGACCTTCCAAAGAAGCCATGTGGCTCGGTTCGACGGACCCATTTGCTCGTGTCTCGGGGGAGGCTCGTGGCCGTGTTCGTGGGCTACATGGGGCGGTTCGTTCGTGTGTTCGAGCTCTATCGAGGAGCCATGGTGTGGAAGGAAGTTCGCGATCTGGGGGAGGTTACGTTGTTTCTGAGCTCCACTTCTTCTCTGGCTGTTGCGACGAGAAGAAGTGGTGGGAATGGAGCAACTGCAAGGATGGGCGACCAACAGGTGTTTCTGGATAAGGTGGTTGGTGGGAAGAGGAGTGATGAGGAGATGTTGATCTATTCTCTTGCGACGAAGAGGTTTCATACTCTCTCTCGAGGATACGAGAGCGATGACTGGTGCGACACGAAAGAATATACGAATTCCGCGTGGATTGAACCGAATTTCGAGACGCACACGAAGGAGGAGCTACGGTGGTTTGATCCGGCGGTTCGAGTCGAAGAGACGGCGGCATGCCCGCGTCCGAAGTCTGATCAATGGTATAAGCAGTGTGTAGCAGTGGAGTGATGTCGTGTTTTATTTTATTTTTATTTTTTCATAATTTGACTCTTATTTAGACAGTGTTGTGTTGTGTGTCTATTTATTTGTTCAATTTTTTTTTTCTTCTGTTCATCAACCTTTCACCACGAACTTTTTCGCTTTTCTCAACTCAATCTGTTGGGCCTCATTAATTGGGGGTATTCGGGCTGAAATCGTTTGGGCCGGACCGTTATTACCGCGCGTAAGCCCACTCATTGTGGATCCAGACCGGGGGTTGGAGTATACAAGAAAGGATTAAGACTAGGCTTATATTGCCCCGTGATTTGGTTATGGACTTATGGCTACGGCCTTAAGCCCTTAACCATAAGAGCATATTGAGATTTGAGCGAGCTCAAAAATCCTTTTGCACTATTGCCCTCATTTGCAAATTCATACAAGAAAACTCCACTACTCGATAACTCAATAATATTAGGTGATTCTTGTTTACATTTTATAACGTAACCGATAACCGCCGTATAAAAGAAATGCTTAATCTTATATTGTTTCCTTTGTTAGTTATTATGTGTTGATGAGTTCTAAATCGTAACGATTAGTTACTTATGTTTTGTAACGTGACATCTGAAGCGACTTGATTATATTCATAGTGACTTGTAGTTTCACCTATGAATTGATCCGAATCCAAGCTTGATCGCAACCTGGTCAAGACCCACGACAACTCATAATTAACAATCAATCCCAAGTATTAGTTTCAATCGCGAACCTATAATAATCGAGATCCTAAATAACCTGTCACCACTCACCACGATTTCATCGACCGAATTGTTGTGTAAGTAAATTTGGTCCTACTTGTAACCTCATTGATTTTTCCTACTTGTAACATAAAGTACTCAAAATAGTATTTGTATTTCCATTATGTCTTTGTTCCAATTCCAGTCTTAGCAATAAATAATAAAACGTTCACCTGTAATAAACGTGGTAGACCAGAGACTCCAGAGACAAGCTAGCTAGCAGCTAGCTCATCACCTTCTTCTCCCACATATGAAAGGGAAGATAGTGCCATGATTCTAAGAACCGGTGGTAAATCGTACGGACAGACTGGGTCCGATCAACGGGGGGTTGGTGGATGGTGGCTGGCCGCCGGTGCACGCGGAAACCGTACATTACAGACAACACGTACACACAGAAATCGAAGACCGTACCACCGTAGAAGGAAGACGTGGCGGTGCATGGCTGCCCTGGCGCCAGGAGGATATTTATATTATACTATATCATTATCCCCCATAAATAATATCGAGCTATAGAGATGGAAAATCATATGACACTAGGCGAAGGTTACAAGGAAGTCAAATCGGTTTAAGTCGTTGATCCGATCAAATAAGTGGTTTGAGCATCAATGATGTGGTTGGGGTTGTCGTTACATACATTTTCTAAACATAAATAAAAATAGGGTTAATATTTTCGTATGCCCTGAACTTTGACCAAAATAAATATTCTGGCCAATCTTTTCGATCTATAACATCTTGGCCCGAACTATACACCAAAATAAACAATTTGGCCAGATCCGACTTTTGACCGTTAACTTGGACGGTCAAACGCGTTGACCGTTAGTCAACGCGCCATGTCACTGCCAAGTCAGCATACAATATTTAAAATAATTCACAATTTCCACATATTCCCTAATTTTAAATTATTATAAATTAAAAAAATCATCTAATACCTTAGTTAAACCAAAAATAAAAAACGAAAAAAATAAAATATTTATTAGATCTTCAGACTTGGCAGTGACGTGGCGCGTTGACCGTTAGTCAACGCGTTTGACCGTCCAAGTTAACGGTCAAACATCGGGTTTGGCCAAATTGTTTATTTTGGTGTATAGTTCGGGCCAGGATGTTATAGATCGAAAAGATTGGTCAGGATGTTTATTTTGGTCAAAGTTCAGGCCATACGAAAATATTACCCCATAAAAATAAGGTAGTAATTTAAAATTTTACTGAAAAATAAAATGTAACCTACATGTATCTATTTAGACCTGGCAAATTACAAAACGACCCGTTAATCCGACCCGAAACGGCCTAAAAACTAGAAATTTTTGTAACGCGAAATCCGAATGACCCGAACCCGATAACCCGTGATTTCTTGGGTCAGGTTGGGTGGGTTAGCGGGTCGACCCGTTAGATCCGTTCCATTTAATATATTACTCCCAAAATATGTTAAAATCACTCATAAATTGGTGAGATGTTTAAAAAAAATTACAAGGATTTGAATGACATGTTTGGAGTTTAAAGATAATCAAATATCATGTGTTTCTTGTAGTAGTATTACTCTTGTGATTGTTTTTTGACGATTGCGCAATTTATATTTCATTTCATTAGCGTGGGAGGATTTGAGAATATGTTAATTAACATGTGTTAGGTAAACTATTGTCATGCATATGTGAAAATTTGTGTTTTTTAAGAAAATATGAAGCATGTTTGATATTGTTTCTGAGAAACCCGAAATGACATGTAACCCGACCCGAAACCGAATGGATTGGGTCAATATTTGACCCGAAATAAGCCAACCAAACATGACCCGACCCGTAACCGAAGTTTCCAACCCGAAATTACCCAACCTGACCCGATTGCCAGGTCTATATCTATTAGAAACTGATCACCTCCCATAAAAAAAACTATCTAACACCATGACCTACCCACCATCCCTTTCAAACCCTAATTCTTAGATTCTTAAATCTTTCATATGGTATCTTGGTTGTATGTCGAAAAATCATAGTCGTTGGTTATTATTTGTAAAATAAATTGATGTTAAGGTACAATAGTATAGACATAGGAATTGGTTTTTACCAATGATTGTAAAATCGTATAAAAATTGTACTGAATAAATTGGTGATAAAATATTTTGTTTTTTAACTGTGATTTAACCGTGATTCATTTAACCGTGATTCAGTAGTGTCGTCCCGATAAAATTCTATTTCATGCTTGAATATTGGTAAAAGGTTTTGTCCGGTGAGGCTATCTTACTTAACAAACACTTGTTTTTAGTTTTTACTCATATAGTATGTGGTATCATCAAATTTACTCTAGATATCAGGAAATTATTGAAGTAGATATATGTAATTATTTGTTTTTTTATAATTAATGAATTGTTTAATGATTACACACATCACACGTGCAAGCTATGGAGGGGACGAGGAGAAGTACTACTGACTGACTGAGGAAGACAGAATCATATGAGCTAAGATCCAGCTGTATATCATCCAAAACCCTAATTTGACATTTTGGGGGAATCTTCTGGGAACAGGCAACACGGTTTGGGTTTGTTTCTTTAAGTATGCTATGCCCCATGAATTTGTGACGGCAGGTCACTGTAGTTTGACTGACAAAGAGAGCTGGAGTAGTACTCGATCGATCGACATTCCAAGTCATGCTATCATTAGTTTAATAACAAGTGATCACTTTCAAGTAGAAGTAGAGAAAGGGGTTGCAAAAATATGTTTGGTTGAATGGTTGTGATGTCAGGATTTTGAATATAAAGATTGTGATTTTAATGTTCGTAGATAGCCGCTTTTAAACATCTTGTTTCCTTCTTTATTGAGGCACTCGTAGAAGAAAAAGATCTGTGTTGCATAATTGCATTGCTGATTGAGTGAACTTAGCTTTTGTTCGGTGCAAACTCGGATTGAATTTGTACGTACGATGAATCGTCATAATATGAAAAGTACACCTACATTTGACTACGTAAATAAAATGAAAAACAACACCTGAATTTAGATGAAAGATTTATAGATCTTTCATTTTGTGACATCTGTTGTTCAACATGGTTCAAAGATCATCCTATCTAGTGGGAAAACAAGGACTGAGAAGGTCAAAGATTCATTTATAAACTTATCAAGGAGCTTCCAATAAACTTGTAGGAAGTAAATATGTTGTTAAAAAGTTAGGTAAACTAAAAAATTGAAAACAAACCGTCATTAAGAGTAACAAATGATAATTAAAATAATGTTATAAGTAGAGTCCAAAGGTTGAAAGCATTCATATGTGGTCATAATACGTCACACAATTCATCATCATACCATGAAATCAGCCATAACTTAAAATTTGAAGCCGAACATAGCCTAAGTATAGAGGATCCCATAGGCAAAATCTTTCTCCTCAAGTAGTCAATACGAGTATTGGTGATCAGCGATTCTCTACATACTTTCTCGATTGTTTCGCTTTGATATCTTGATTCTCTTCATCCGATTTAGACTTTCAAGAGCGATAATCCAAACTCCGATATCACCTAAGCTTGCTTCTTACATGTTCCATTCTACAATCCAATAAAAGATCAAGCAATGAAAACAATCTCAAAACCCACAATACACTTTTTTTTACTATATCCACCCACACCTAAAGAAAGAACCAACGGTTAGGATTCAATTGCAATTTGCAAATACATAATGGTTCGAATTCGCTTTCCTGCATAAAAAACGGGCTCTGGTTTTACACGTATACTAACCAATTATAGAATAAAAGATTCGATCCTCAATCAACTTATAAAACATATAGCTAGGGGCACAATTTAACTAACCATAACATTACTATGAACTAACCAATATAGAATGAAAGGTAATTAAAAATTTCTTCATGATCTCAACATGAGGTTGACATCGATCCTTGCTGAAAGATATTGCATAGTAGCCCCCAAATTAAGCTTCCATGAGCTGACTGAGTAAAACCCAACAGTCTCCCCCTTCCATCCTTATAAAAAAAAAAAAACATTAATCATCATCAATATATTAATCAAATGTAGGACCAAAACATGTCCTTGTCAAATAAATTACACATTCATATCAAAGATCCTGAGATTCATACACCTTGATATGATTGACAATTTAATAAGAAAAACACTTGAAGAGACTCGAGTCACTCTACATTCATGCAATGCAACCCATTGCCAGCCCATCTATCCCATAGCTTCCATAAACAACATTTGTCAATGGCTACCAAAATTAAAGGCAACTACTTAGAACCTCACTCTTGCTTTGCTTTGCTACCCTCTTCCCCCACACAATTATTAGTATTAAACAAACTCAATCCTTCACCATGATTCTCACACGTCATCACACATCCATTTTCCCACCCTTTCTAATAATCACTTGTTCCTCTCCCTATATATAAGCCCCCTCATTCCCCACTCATCCTAAATCTCAATCTTCTCCACTTGTTCCATTATCTCTAGCATCTTTGAGTTATAGCTTCTCATCAAACTCCCTAACTTACATAAACCTAAGCTAGCTTCACATTCTCAAACACATTCATACTCCCATTGCTTTCCCGCCGTCCGAGCTGTGGAACATCGATTCGTGCACCCATCAGAAGATTTCTTGGTCGAAAGACAGTCAGTCGGTTTACCACTTTGCTCGCTCGCTCTCTCTATTCGTTATTGACATTCCTTCTTACATAAACTCAGCTTCACGCCCTTCGATCGCCTTCCTTTTTTATAGACGATACAGTTTGTCAACTTAGTCGACACGATCAGGATATTTCTAAGTCGTCGAAAGTCAGTTGTTTTACGGTGCCTAGCTCAAGAGATTACATATTAGGGTTTTCCTTTCCCACCGTGACTCTTTTTCCTTACTAATTCCTACCACAATGGAGGAAGGAGGCAATAACGGCCACGGCGGCGGGCCGCCGCGGAGGTACAGAGGGGTGCGGCAGCGGAAGTGGGGGAAATGGGTGTCGGAGATCAGGGAGCCGGGCAAGAAGACGAGGATATGGCTGGGGAGCTACGACACTCCCGAAATGGCGGCGGCGGCTTACGACGCCGCGGCATTGTACCTCCGCGGAGGCGCAGCCGCCGCGGGTGGGGCCCAGCTCAACTTCCCGGAGCTGGCGGGGTCGCTCCCCCGCCCGGCCAGCTCCAGCGTGGAGGACGTCCAGACGGCGGCACAACAAGCCGCCGCCCGAATGATCGTGAATCATAATAATATCAAGCATCCGGCGGCGGTTCATTCGCCGGAATCGTGTATTTCGGAGGAAGGAGAGCAGCAGCTGATGGGCGGAGACGAGTCGGGTCGGTTCGGGTTGCGACCGGTTCGGGTCGGGCTGTCGCCGAGCCAAATCCAGGCGATCAACGAGACGCCGATGGATTCGCCGAACGTGTGGATGGAATTGGCGGGAGCGCTGTTGCGCGGCGGGGGGAACCAATACGACGACGCCGTTTCGATGGATTTGGATGGGGCGGTGATCGACGGCTGTGATTTCAGCGGGTTGGACGAGATCATGGAAATGCAATATTTCCAGCCGTCCATTTGGGATTACTGATTAATAATAATCCTAATAGTTTAACAATTAAATGGGGAAAAAATTAATAAATAATAATTCAATTTGGGTGTAGATTGATATATAGAATATATATTGGTCTATGCTTCTATATTATACACTTGGAAAAAAAAAATATTGGGTAGGGTATGTGGGGAAGTTTTGAGGTTGCTTCCTCTTTTAGAGGCAATTTGGTTTTTATATTTTTGCCCTCCTTTTTTTTATGGTTCTTTTTATTTATTAAGGATGATGGGAAGAGGGGGGAATGAATCTATATGTATGAGTTGGTTGGGCTGCCTGTTTTTGACAAGCCTTTCTTGCTCTCTTGATGATGTAATGATAATTTTTTTTATATTATGATATATATATCAATGTAATAACAATATGTATTATTTTGGCTATCTTAATTATTTACTCAAATATTTTATACTTATTCTATATGTCGATAACAAATTTATAACTTCAATTCGTATTGTTGGAAGAGAAACAACTATGAATCATGTATATAATTTCAAAAATTTATACATGTCTTTAAATAAAAACTCATATATTTGGAGTTCTTACACATTTGAGATATAATTGTACTTGAACCAACCGTGTATATGGAGGGTTATAAATTTTTTGAATATAAAGTCTTTCGACCAACATGCCATGATCGAGAAGTTTGCATAGGTCCATTATATCATGTATTTGAATTAACTCTTCATAGTTGTGGTTGTGAGGATTACAATATATATATATGAGTTATGAGGCTTCTCTTTCAAAGGTTCTCTTATGTCAATAATTTAGTTAATTCACAATAACTCGAGTTGTTAGAAGATATTCAAATATGGATCTTATATATATTCATTCCTCTCTACTAGACCCACATCCTAGGAGTACTAAACTAGTATAAACGCCTAATGAACTATGAAGTACTCAATTTTCTGAATCATTATAAATTGACTATCAACTCTTTATCAATAAAGAAGAAAAATTCCAACAATAAACCTCTATTTTCAGAACCGGACCGGAGGCTGAACCGGAAAAGTTAGTGGTTTAAAGGTTCACTGGTTAATCGTTACAAAACCGTTGGTGAACCGTTGATAGAACCGTTAATGATATATAACATATAAGACTTGTATATTACACTAATTTAAGAATGAAATTATCATTGACCATAAACAAGTTCAAATTCATATCATCACGAAAATATCTAATAAATCATTCCAATCATCTCACAAAAGAAACCACATTTTTTAATTCAAATTAAAAATTACGGTTCTAGTTGGTAGTAGACAATGTAAAATCGACAATAAGGTTGAGGAAGCATATATAAAATTAATAATTATGATTTGATGGTCTTAGTTTATGTTAAAATATTTTTTTTTGTTAAAATAGTGAACCAATGGACCAGTTAAACCGTGTCGGTTCATCTGATTTTATGTTGAACCGTGAAAAACCTTTTGGTCCATCAATAACCGTTCAAACAATGAACCGGACTGCTATCGTAACTGGTTTGATGGTTCTACTGGCCCGGCCGTTGATCCGGTTCGGTTCTTATAACAAGGCAATAAACTCCTTCGACTGCAACTTAACTTCTGCAAGTCCATGAAGTTAAGAGCGATCTCCATCCTCCTAATACGAGTATATTAAGCATATGCACCACTTTCGATCGACCTCACATCCTCTCTACTTTACCACCATCTAAGCAGGAACAAAGATAACTTTTAACATCTGAAATTTATTTATGGAAGTTAAGATGTAACAATCAAGGATTGTGTCCTTTGCAATTGGAAGGAATCGTTGGTCGGCTTCAAATGTCTACTCAACTTTCCTAACTATGTTCAGTTTTCTTTCAGTATGAGAAAAAAGATTAACTAATGTGGGGTAGTGGGCGGCTTAATTAAAACTCAAAAGTGCACCAGTTCGATCTTGGGTCCTACGATAGGACTTCGATCCCTTGATATGGGTTATATGTGTCATTAACGTGACCACAGAAAGGGACCTAACCTAATCTAATCCCTACCCTAATCTTAATTATTCATCACTTAGACACTTACATGTAGCTAATTTTCGTTAATTAGTTGGTTACCGGCTAATCAACTAAGTGAGAAACTGTCAAACGTCTGGAAAGGTATATACTCATTGACGATTGAGTAGTTAGTAGCACCAAGCGCGTCCACCTTCTAGTTAATTTCATCCTCTGGATCAAAGAGTCAATTACAAATCCCAAACCCCAATCTATAATTTACTAACTCAACACATTGGTAAGTGATGAGGATGGCAACCGGTTCAACCGTTGGCCCATTTTGACCTAAATGGGTTGGACTCGAACTTATGCCTGAATTGGATCGGACACGAATCTAGTAGTATAGATTGTGTATATAATGTAACACACTCAGTTCGGAAGATGCACTATCTTTTACCAAAAACATCATTAATAAATAATTATCATTAAATTCTTGGAAAGAAAGTGAAAACGTTTCATATTAAACTACACTTAAAACATGAACAATCTTGAAACACTGGCTTAATAAATATTCATTTTAAATTACATCAAGTCTCTACTCTTTAGGAAAAATCTCACATCGGCAAAGCCAAAAGAGATACATGGACAATAAGGAACAACTATACCTTAACCTAACAATACACATTTTCGGTGAAATGAATGAGTTTTAGTAAACTATGAAGTTAAACGTGATTAGGGCAGAGCAATGCATAGATCCAATGCAAACAATATTTTGATAAGAAAAATAGTTGGGATGTCACATTTAACATTATTTTTTAAGGAAATAATATAATGGTAGAACCGTTCTTTGGATGCCTTAATGGGATATATATTTCACATATTGGGACAACTAAATTATTGAACGAGTAAACGTGAAGTAGTTGTTGTTTGCATGCAAGTTGGCAGCATATATTAATTAGCACGCAATCATCTTTGGATTCCTCCCCTGATACCTTGATTAGTAGAGCACAATTGCTTCCTGAAAACCCACAATTACAAAAGCCAACCTTCCCTCCATACTTCCCCTCACGTGTATCATGGCCGTGTTGTCTCTTGCTTGCTGCTCTCTTAAGCCTTATTTAACTAGTAATTTGGGATTTGAGATCTAAACTAGGGTCTGATAAAAACCTTTCTAGGAGTAATTAGTTCATGGGTTTGCTTGATCTACACCTAAACCTTTCTATTAACCTAGCTAGTTAATGGGGATTGCCGACAGTGGCGTAGTCAGACTTTGAGTTTATTGGGGTCCTTAAAAATTTACTAACACTAAACCCTGTGTATCTACTGAATTTTGAGTTGATCAGGGTCCTTGATAAGCTAATATCGTCGAGAATACGAGATCCTAAATTTAAAGGATCGTACTTAACCCTACAAATCTAAAGGATTTTGTTGCCCAATTTTTTTTACCAATTGGGTCCTAGAACCCCTCTCCCCCTCACCTCTCTGCCACTGATTGCCTACGGGTCCATTGGGTTAACAACAAGAGTTGTACAAGACCAGATATAACAAAACTACTGTCTAATATCTATCATGATAGATTCGTGACAAGTTCCTCATTTTTTACGACAAAGTAGCAAACATTAGTACATGACTCATGCTTGAATGCATCGGTATATATAGACCTTTGTGATCGTGTCAAGACATGTCGACAACGGCACAACGCTCTTCCCAGATGAGACCAACAAGCACACTCACCAAAAGTAGCTCGGCATTCGAGCCGACAACTATCATAACTTTCTACCCGTAACCCACAAGTTGTAGCATGCATATCATCCCAACAACTCTTTTGCCAAAAATAATTTCGGAATCGAAAGACACGAGCAAAATTTCATTACATTTGAAAGGATCCAAAGAGGATGGGATCTGCAATGAAGATGGATGGAAATGACCATTTTGGTACATGTTCAATGTACTATTTTGAGAAAATTTAGAATTACATGACAATTTTGTACGGATGTCAAAATTATATGACCATTTTGTACAGCTACCCAAAGGTTTAGTGGCTGTTAATGTAAATTAAGCAAATGCCGCCAAAAACCGCAATCAATCCACGACAAAAGTCCAACGAGGACACATGGCGCGCCTCGGGATCCTCAACGAGGAAACGAACCCGGGAACCCGCCAAATCCACGTCATACCTCTGATGGCCCCCCCAAGTTGCCCACGTGGCACCGTCAGTTGGTTTTTGCTCTCCCCCTTCTTCTTCACTTCATTCCTTGCTTCCTTCCTTCGCCATACTCACCAAAGCCGAATCGTCTCCCTGCAACAAACCCCAGAAGTTACTTTCTCGCCCGCCAAACGAAGAGAACGGGAACTGCATTTCCTTTCCCTTCTCGGCTTCTCCCACGCCGCCTTCTTTTTTCTCTCGAGCTAGAAGCAGAGTCGGAGTTCACCGGAAATGGACATTCGCCGCCCCGTGATAAATTGTTCTCCGCTGCCAGCCGTTTTGTGATCCCGAGGTTTGCAATTCCGCGAAATGCTGGAAGATTTCCCCCCCTACTGTTTGTTTAGGTTTACAGTTGTAGTACTGAATTGCATCACTTTCGTTCTGGAAGGCGCGAATTGGGCTGGAAATGGCGACTGAAGTGGTTGCTTCTTCCGCTGCTGCTGCTTGCTGTTACGGCGGCGAAGGTTGGTCCCGGACGGCGGTGTATCGCGACGGAGAGGACTCGCAGGTTAGTGAGTTGAATTTGGTTCCTTCATACAGCTTTTGGCGGATTCCTAACCTCTGTTTGGCTACTGCTGCTAGGGATTTTAAACAAATTGTTCTCGTGTAAATGTTTGGATTACAGGCTTTCCGCATCTCAAAACTTGCGGATCATGGCTCGATTTCATTTGGGAGATACGAATCGGAGGGTCTAGCTTGGGAGAAGTTCTCAGTGTTCTCTCCCAACAGGCGCAAGGAGGATGTGGAGAAGTCTACTGCGCCAGGTTTTGTTGCTCAGAAGAAGGCCTATTTTGAGGAATACTTCAAGGGGTTCAGAGCTATGAAAGGGTTGTTCAAACGGGAATCCGGGGTAGAGAGCAGCATCAGGACAGGGAAAGAAAACGGCGCTGAGATGATCGATCATGACTCGACGAAATGGGGAAGCTGCAGCAGTAGCAGCTATGCTGTGCCAATTCAGGTTCTGGAGAAGGAGGATAATGCAGATCTTGTTTCTGAACACAATGTTTCCACAATGACGAGGGGTGAGTGTGGGAAAGGTAAAGGTCAATCTCAAGGAGATGGTTCCTCCATTGGGAATCCAGATGCCTTACTAAAAGATGGCTTAAAGTGCTCCAAAAACGGGAATCGTGCAAAACAAGCAAAGAAACAGATCTCTGCCAAGGTAAATGAGGAATCTTGTAGTCTTTGTTGTTAGGCTTCACATCTCCATCTGCAAATGTATGATAGCGATCCACCTGCATTTCGTTTTTGTTGAACCAGGGGTCTGTTGCTTCAGTTGCAAGCATACCGAAATTGGGTACAGATTTGGGGAAGAGGTCTGGGGGATTGAAGCCATCTGTGAGTCGAAGTGTTACGACGAAGCTGGTGAAAGAAATTAATCCTGCCCAGGCTTCCACGAGCACTAAATCCAACCATGCCCGTTCCCTTAGGGAACTTGGTGAAGTTCAGAAGAGTACAGCCAGTGGTGTTCACGTGAAATCTACAAGAGAGAAGATGGTCTCGCCTACAAAGACCAAAACCAGCCTAGTGAAGCCAAATGTAACTTCAACTAGTTCAGGAAAGCTTCCAGTATCTGCTCAGGTAAATCTGCACATTCTGAATTGCTCCCCCCTTTCACTGCAACTAGTTTCCTGGTTTGTAACTCGAGTGCATTTTTTCAGAACACGAAAGGGACCACCATCACTGGCCATCAGAAGAGACCAAGTCTTGCTAACAGGTTTGATTTTTGCAATTAAGAACTCGAGATTTTTGTGTTGTTGGTCTGCCCATGTTAATTACTGTCTGAAAAATGGAAAGTAGGAACTGCAATGAAGTTGGCAAGAAGTCATTAAGCCCTAGTGGTTGCCAAAGTGGAGGTGAACCAGAGAACCTGAGGCCAAAAGCCATGTAAGCCAAAGCAATTATTTTGAGTTGTCTCCAATTGCTTAAAATTGCGAATTCATAGAAGATCTAACATTTGAACAAATGCCAGGTCAACAGATCCTGCTGCCAACAATGCATCAAAAGCTGGGGCCAAGTCTGCAAGGATCACCGGGAGGGGAGAAAAGGCGGAAAAGGTCTGCTATCATATTCGAATGCCTGCCTTATATTTATAACTTCTCTTTTTAAGTCACAACCATCGAAACATGGCTAGATGGAACATAATTCTTTTAGCACTACATACTTGAATGTCAAGCAAGCCTTTTAGTTTTTACTCTCATGAAGAATTCAGGATTAGTAGGTCGTTAGCACTTTCTGACTTCATTTGCCAACTGATTGTCCAGGGGATGACTGCACCCAATGCTCGAATCGGAAGAGAACCCAAGCCTTCGCCATCTAAAGTGAGAGTCATTCATAAGACATCAAAAGACAACACTGAGCATAAGGTAATATTACGATATACCTCACCCAAGTTGCTCCTCTGGTTTCATTTCCACCAGAAACCACAAATTAGAGAACTAGTGTTTTTGTTGGGCTAGCTGGAGGATAATATTCCACATGTAACTGAAAATGTTGTTAAAAATGTTCTTTCATTTCAGATTTCTTCATCAAGAGTAGGCTTGCCGAACGAGATGAAGGAAACAAGGTTAGAGAATAAATCTTGACATGCTATTCCTTTCCTGAATCTGATTTCACTGCTTCAGAATTAGCTGCTATAGATTCGTGCTTGCCAATAACTTATCTATGTACACGGTAAAATGCGTACAATTTGGTTATCTTCTCAAGAACCATTATCTTTTCTGTCATGCAGACAGCGGATTCCAACTTGGCGTAGAGTTTAACATAATATTTCGGGAAGGTGACACACTCCAGGAAGCTGGCAGAAGATAAATGTCAAATTTGAGATGAATTCTACTCGAAGATAAACATCTGAGCAAGTGCTGGGTACTAATAGCATAGCAGATTAGTAACTATTGAATCGTCAACAAGCTAACTGCAAAGCCAGTATCGCAATGCTGCATTCCTCCTGGAGAAGTACAACTGACGGAGTTCACCATGGGCTGATAGAAGAAAAGACCGTAACACGAATATAACCAAGCTCGAGCAGACCAGAATGGTCTTCTGAAGATGCTACTTCTCTTTGTCAATCCACATACTGAATATGAGCTTTGAAGTCAAATCTGTTCTTTTTCTCTGATATCATTTCTGCAAGTTGAGCCCCATTTCTTGGTACATATCTTCAAGATCAAGCATCGTCTCCCCCATGGAAGATTCTCTCTCTTGCTTTGGATGCCTGCCATGAACACACACACACACAGACACGACAGGAGGTGAGTATATTCATTGTTCAGCATGATCTTACAGTACATTTCTCCTACAAACAGGACAACTATGAACTATGTTAAATGCTTGAACTTGAAAAAAACCTGTTGTTGCCAATCTGTGAGAGCTATTCTGAAAGCAAACATTGTTGCCTGCACAAATGATCCACTTGCCAGTCCTATCAACAATCCCTTCCCACCTATGTGCACAACAAAAGCCAACACTACAGCTACCGGTGTTCCAACCAGATAGTAAGCTCCAAGGTTCACATAAGCCCCTAAGTTCTGCCATCCAATTCCCCTCACAACCCCTGTTCCACCCACGAAACAATCGTCGATCAAGTCAGATCAATTTGGTCTCCGGTACGTGGTTTATTAGAAACGTGATGAGCTGGTCTCGTACGGGATAATTCATAGAGTGGTGGTGGTTACCTGAAAGTACAGTTTGTAAGGTGTCCATGACCACCGAGGCACAAATGAAAGGAACCATGTCTGCAACTTTCTTTACTATCTCTTTGTCACTGCTGAAAGCATACCCCAAAAAGCGTCGCCAGAGGACTAGAGGCACGATCACGACGACCAGCTCGATAATCGCAAGAACGAGTATCGCCCCGACTGCCATTTTCGCTGCCCTCGGGTTCCCTGCTCCCAGTTCATTTGACACTCTAGTACTGTTCAAAGATCATCATCCTTTCACTTATTAGTTAGTGTTTTTCTGGTAGAAATGGACTGACCAAAAGCAAACGCTGAAAGCACAAACCTTACAGTAGCTCCGAACCCATATGGAATGAAATAGTGGAGATAGGTTATTGTAAAGCTGCACACAAATGGAGATATCTAGCTTTAGGCATTCCTCTCTATGTTCAGCAATAAGCTAAGCAGAAAGCTTACCAAATAGAAAGAACTGAGGTTTCTACTTTTGGGTTTGGCAAGAGCCCTGACAGCAATATCAGCACCTCATAAGACCACCACTCAAGACTACAAGTAACGAAAAATGTCGAAAATTTGTTAGCGAGAGGTCAAGCGTTCAAGTTCCCATATGGGCGGGAAAAAAAGGCTAGCATTTCGATTACAGACCATGTCATTACCGCGGAAGGAGCAGCAAACCTCAGGAACTCCCCAGTGCCTAACAACACATCCTTGAACACGAACTTGCACCGAGTTCTCGCGCATTCTGCAGAACGAGCCATGTAACCACCTAGCAAGACCACATAGACCCAGTACGACAAGCTGACAGCCAGTGCAGCTCCAATGGTTCCCAATCCTGATCTGAACACCAGAGCCCAGCAAAGAGGGATGTGGATGCAGAGTGTTGCAAGTGAGCTGAAGAGCAGTGGAGCGATCAGCGATTGTGCCTGGAAGTATCGGATCAGTGCCTGGAGGATCGCGTAGGAGAAGAGGTTCGGGATGAGGCAGAGCGAGTAGCTGCGAGCTAGCTTCGAGACCGAATGGTCCTGCCCTGTGAGGATGAGTAGCTTGTCTGTCAAGAAAAGCCAGAGGATGGAGATGGGGAAGCATATCAAGGTCATGGACACGATGGCGGTGTAAGTGTAGGTTGCTAGCTTGTGATACTGGCTGCTCCGTAGGCTTGGCCGCATAGTGTCTCCAACCCTCCCGCCATTCCAAACTGCATTTCTTAGTTAGTGTTTCCGCTTAAGGAACTGCTCAAGGAAGCCATGAATTATGAGAAAGATTCTGTAACGTAACTCACAAGCAAGCTGAAGCCGGTGACACTGGTGAAGGAAGAAGCAATGGATGCGGCGGAGAGGGAGAGCTGGCCAAGGTGGCCGACCATCATGATCGAAACAACCTGAAGAAGGTATTGCAGAACTGTGACGGCCACCATTGGAGCTGCTACCAAGCTCACTTTCTTCAGCTCTTTCAAGCTCACCAGCCATTTGCTGCTGCTGCTGCTGCTACTCCTACTGGTAGTGCTAACCGCCATTGTTTCCATAGATTCACCTTTTTCGGACCACACTTCCTCTGATGCGCCAAGACAAGGCATGAAAGTTGTCTCTGCTGGTTTATAAGCCTGAATAGTTTGGACTTCCCTACACGGTTGAAAAAGCCTGAAACTTGGTTTTTTCTTGGTTTTCCACATCATCCACACATAATCCAGAGATTTGTTTATTAGCTAATTTGTGGTTTAAGGATGAATTTTGAGAATATAGAGGAGACTAATGGTTCAAGATGTTGTAAACACAACAATAACAAAATTAGTACGCAACTTAACAAGTATAACTGACCGATACTATATATACTGGATTTAACCACTTAGAGATGATAATTAAGATTGTCAAGGTGTTGGGTTCGAGACAATTTACTTTCGTCTTCAAATTCTCTCAACATTAAATTTAGATGATAACTCGCCTCGACGGTCACCAACTCGTGTTGTATGAACCGGATTAACCACGATTCAAGGTCGAGCCATGACAACAAAAGTTTGTGGTAGAGAGATGTGGATTTTCCATTTGTGGTGAGGGACAACTCTTTCCCCATTTAGCAAAAAATTTGGGTAGGATCTTTGGCCCCCTCTTACCTTTGTCATCATGTGTTATAAACGCGCTGCTACGGATCGGGAAATCGCCGGAATCGACAAAGCAAGAATACGAGAGCGAGAATCGAAAAAACACAGACACACGATTTACGTGGTTCACTAACACGATGTGTGTTAGCTAGTCCACGGGCGAGAGAGAGCCAGTTTCACTATATCGAGGAGATTACAGATTACAGAGGAGTATGAGAAGTATTTATAGTACTTCTCCATGTGGGTCTAAACCTAATCCAATCTAGCAAAGGAAACGGTTACAGACCAGGCCCAGAACCCGAACCCAAATAACATTGAGCCCATACACCGTGGGCCGGGGGCGTTGCCCCCGCACCCCCACCGGGGCGTTGCCCCTGGACCCCACTCGCTGACCGGGCAGCGAGACCCCCGGTTACCAGTCGTAGCGGCTGATAATCCGATTCAAGTCATATCAACATCATGCTCTTGAGCGGTTGAGCCTTTGTCCAATATCACAGAAATTTCGAAATGTAAGATAATGTTAAAAATACAAGCCCTAATACTGGTGGTGTCTGCTTTGGACTCGACTTTGTTTCTTATTCACTCATTTATGTATTTTATACTTGTCCTGGTGGCGAATGTCATTCCCTCACTGCATGGTTTCCTCTTTATATCATCAATCAATCTCGACTTATTTTAAAAATCAAAGCAAATCCATGCATATATATGCTTAGGCTTTGTGCTAGTAATGGAGACTTCCAGTTGTTTATATATTCGAAATTTCCCTATATCAGCTGAAGTGTCAATTCTGGTGTCGAATTTAATAATTGAGTTTTCCCAGCTCGTTATCTATCAAAAAATATATAAGGGCGGCGATGAGATGAAAACAAGAAAGAAGTTATAAAATGCGATTAATGGAGTTGTGCATAGATATCCGGAGAAATACGTAATGCGCGATCATGGATTCTTCATGATGGCTCCAGACAAATTTATTTGTAAGGTTTACAATTACAAATGATAGTGATGTATTTTGTGCATCAGAAATGCAAGGTGTAGCTAGAATAGAGGGCGGATCGTAAATATTAATGCATGCTATGCACCCAAGTCTAAAAATAAACTTTAGTCCTAATGTTAGTGGGATCTGCTTTGGACTCAACTTGGTTTCTTATTCACCCATTTATGCTTCATTGCTTCTTATATTTTTGTATTGGATCATTTTGCTATTCCTAGTGGCCAATGTCATCCCTTCACTGCATGCTCTCCTTTATCAACAATCAATCTCTTGTCTTGTTTTTCAAATCAGAGCTAATCTCAGTGATGCATTTTGCTTTTGACTCTCAACCACTTACAAAATAAGACAAACAAGAGAATGCCCATTTTATTAGCTTATGCATTTGTGGGATTCAAGATTGTCACGTTTATTATCTGATATGATGTCGGATAATAAATGAGAATAATTATTTTCGGTAGAACAAGTAAACAATCACATTTATCGGTGATACTCCTCCAAGTTGAGTGATAAAAGTATGCCTCTTTAGTCATGGGGTGGTTATTTATCCAACCAAAAGTAATAATCTCAATAAACTTTTGTAAATTTGTAAGGACTTTCTTAAGGTACAAAATCTAGAACTTCAGTAAAATCCCACTAGAAATCATGAATAGTCTTTGTCCACATCTCCTTCTAGTAAGTTACTTCTCTAAATTTGCACCTTTTAGGAACTCGTTTCCTCATACAAGAAGCCTTTGAGCACCATGAAAAATTGGAGCATCCATAGACGAAATCAAGGACCCTCTTGTAGCTCTACTCCATGAAAGATCCTCTCTCTTGCTTTCAATGCCTGCAATGAGCACACCAACCCACTAGGTGAACACTCTGAATATAAATTAGAGCAGATGATTGTCTGATAGTATGTAGTTTGGGAAATGCATGCATTTGAAATGAATGGATTTCATAAACCTAGTGAATGGTAAGAATGCAACATTCAGAAAGTTGGGATGATGGCTGGCTAAGTTTCAACCTTTTCAGTTTAGTGAGCATTTCTTTTGCCATAAATTAAAGGTTATAAATGGAGACTGGAAAACAAAATACCTGCTCTTCCCAGTCTATAAGAATCAGCCTGATACCAAACATGGCTGCTTGTATTCCTGATCCAGTTGCTAATCCAATTATCAGCCCTTTCCCTCCCAAATGCGCAACAAAAGCCAGTATAGCAGCTAATGGTGTCCCAACAAAATAATAAGCCCCAAGGTTCACAAAGGCACCCATGTTCTGCTTCCCACTTCCCCTCACAACACCTGAATCCATACACAAGCACAGCTTGTCATGATTCAGAAGTTACAGCTAGAAACTGTGTATTGATGCTGCTATACTGGAATTCACCCTTTCGTTTTTACCTGAAAGCACAGATTGTAAGGTGTCCATGGTGGCTGAGAGGCACATGAAAGGAGCCATGTCCGCAACATAATCCACGATTTCCTCGTCGTTGCTGAAAGCATACCCCAAAATGTGTCGACATAAGAAGAGAGGCAGGATTACAATGGCCAGTTCCATTCCTGCGAGAATCATCACAGCTTGAACTGCCATCTTGGCTGCCTTCGGATGCCCTGCTCCCAACTCGTTTGACACCCTAGTACTGGATAAAAAAACAATCTTCTTTTTAGCAAACATAATACCAGGAGAGTTTGTTGGGGTGGTGAATTGGTGAAATGAGAAGAGATCGTTAAAATGTTGTAGTAAAAGAACTCACCTTACGGTGGCTCCAAACCCATAAGGAATGTAGTAGTGCAAGTAAGTGATTGAGAAGCTGCATTCGGTAAGGTTAGAGAGAGTTACGAGCGATGTTCTCATTTAGACGAAATGGAAACAATGTGGAGAAATACAAAGGCTAGCCATACCAAATAGAGATCACTGAAGTTTCTAGCTTTGGATTTGGCAAGAGTCCAGCCAGCAATATAAGCACATCATATGACCACCATTCAAGGCTGCAATTAGACAAGACAAAGAGCATGTTTATTCAGGTCAAAGTGTTCAAATGCAAACTAAACTAAACTGCATGAAATGTGATGCAGTCGAACCATATTTCTAAATGTTCAGCAGGTGAATAGCAGATCAAATATATTTTGGGGGTCTCGAACAATATAAAAAGGGACACATAGATGCTCCAGTTAGCTACCCGGTAGAAGAGGAATGAATTATGATGGGTTTGAGTAATGTGGTCTTAGGTGGGTTCGAGAATTGAGTAAATGGGTCGCTCATTCAGCTGCATTAGGGTTCTATGTGGCATTTTTATTAATGATGTGAGATACCTTAGTCAGTGCCAAGTTCACGGAAAATCAAAGTCTAGTGGTTAAATTTGTCAAAACACTTCTAAATTGCCACAAGTTTATGAAATCATTTCCCCCCAAAATGTCAAAAGAACAACATACCAGGTCATCATGGCAGAAGGAACAGCAAACCGCAGGAATTCCCCAGTTCCTGACAACACCTCCCTAAACTTGAATTTAGGCAGAGTCTTGGCACATTTGGAGGAGTAAACCATGTATATCCCGAGCAAGATCACATTAGCCCAAGTCGAAATACTAACAGCCAATGCAGCACCGATAAATCTCAACTCCGTTTTGAAGACGAGAAACCAAGAGAGAGGAACATGGAGGAACATTGTTGCAAGTGAAGCAAAGAGCATGGGAAGGATCAAGCTCTGGGTTTGGAAGTACCGCATCATAGACTGAAGCATCGCATAAGCAAAAAATCCCGGGATGAGGTAGATGGAGTACTCACGAGCCAGGATCGAGATCGAAGGGTCTTGGCCTGCAAGGATGAGTAGCTTGTCTGTGAATAGCCATAAGATCGAGATCGGGATGCAGGCCAGGGTCATGGATGCCATGGCACAGTAAGTGTAAGTTCCAAGCTTGTAGTATTGCTCTGCGCCATAAGCTTGTCCACATAGTGTCTCCAGCCCACCAGCCATCCCAACCTACATGTTTCAATCACCAAGATGGAAGGTAAAAGGCAGTCAAAACCCTTGGGGATACTAACAGATTGGTTACTGGACTTTCAACCAAATTAACAAAAACATCCATGATATAGACACTCATTTTAACTCATGCAACCAATCCATACCGAGCCTTTACTCAACCTAATTTAACCCTCCCTCTATGTTCTGAACAACTAACTAGTTTGTCGCTACTTTAAGTGAGTTGACATGGTGGTCTAGACAATTTTAGATAGGGGCGACTGTTATCTGAGGTGTTCTGCAACTCAGTGACAAGATCATTAAATACGAAAGTTCAGGAACCAATTTGTTAAAGACTCCAAAGGTCAGAGATTGTTTAAGCAATTGACCAGAGGACAGGTGCTGTTTAACTTAGCCCTTAAACTCAATTTTGTGCCAACCACTACCTCTCTCCAATTCAATAAATGAAAGAGAAAAAGGCTCATCTAAATAGACAAACAATTTGGTTCTTTTATTTTCTTATAATAATATTACATGCACAAAGAATCCAGACTCGCCGCGTCTCTGAAAGTTCAATCACTGCATGGCCACGAAAATGAATTTGCTAACTAAGCTTTTATTAGTTTTCCTAAAGCTCAACATGGTAATAGCTTTTCACTTTATTATAAGTCACTTTGGGGCCAAAGGGAAAAATCAGAAGAGCCAGAAAGGCAAAGAGAGAAATCTAACTCACAAGCACGGTGAAGCCAGTTACAAGGGAGAAAGCTGAGCCGATGGACGCGGCGGAGAGGGAGAGCTGGTCGAGGTGGCCAACCATCATGGTTGCAACAAACTGCACGAGGAACTGCAGCACCATGACAACCACCATTGGAGCTGCTACCAAGCTCACTGTCTTCACCTCTCTCAAACACCCCACCCATTTAGTACTGCTGCTGCCCTCCATTGTTTTCTGTGTTCAGCTTCTTTTAATTTCTCTCTTGGGGAGTCTTGGTTTATAACGTGACCAAGGAGAGCATTGATGGTTTGTCTTTTGGATACTCCATTGGGTGGCTCCATGGAGTGGGCTATCATTTCTAAAGCTGAAATGGAAATAGGAAACATGGTGGTCAAAAAGTTAACTAATGCAATAGCTAAAGTAAGCAGATATAAAGGGGGGAAATGCTCATTTCAGCTGTACCACATACTATGTTAACTAGTACTAAATGAACTCAAATTCAGGAAACAAAAGAGGCCGAGTCGACATTTGGATTGATCATGCACCATTATTAAGGGTAAAGATCAATAATTAGAAATATATCAAAACTTTAGCAACCAATTTGTAGCCATAAAATATGAGGCATGAATCATAATGTAATGCTGAGGTAGAGTGCATTATGACACCACTTTGCATATCCATGACCAGCTTTTGTCTCTTTTTCCATTTACAAACCAAAAGGAAATCCTAAGTGGACTCAACTTTGTCAGCCACTAATGCTCTCCCAGATCATGCTGCAAGATAGCAAACAATTCACAGTCCCAATAGTTCCAGGAATCCAGTTACATACAATTTCTCAAACAAAATCACGCACACCTAGACAACAAAAGGTACATTGTTCATCCATGTTTGTGCAGCTTCAACCACAGTCCCTTTTTTTTTTTTTCTTCTTTCTTTCAGATACACTTTCCATCCCCACACTAAGCCTCTTTGCAATGAAAGATGGTCTCAAATTCCACAGATGAAACTCAATGATTTTGCTAAAGCCAAACTACTACCAGAAAGAGCATATTCGATTATATGCTCTCCTTCCCTAGTCATTCATCACATCCCTTTCCCCCAACACACAAAGCAAGGACAAAAGGCAGCCCATTCACTCTGCCAACTCTGAAACGGATGCTCAGGCTAGACAGACCAACTGGCCAAACTTTTGCTTATCAAGAACACGTTTGCTCAACATAATGGGAGAAAGTTTGTTTCACCTCTTTTGCTAATTCTGCTGCAACTTTTACTAGGAAGAGCAATTAGAAATCCCACCGGGACAAGAAAGCCAATGGAAGATAACTACAACACCGAACTGACTTAATTTAGTTACTCAGAAGAAAAAATTCCAGAGTTCTTTACCTGGACGAAACTGATTCTTCTGCCTTCCTTTTCTTCTTGATTTCAGCAGCATGACATGAGAAAAGGCGATTTCTTTGTCGTTCCTTGCTTTTAGAGGGGAAAGTGATAGCAACCCAAATGCTGGAAGAGCTTCTAGAACAGATTCCAGCTTTCAATGGAATCCTCCGACTGGTTTTCCAAACTCTAAAGCGTCTTTCTCAAACTTCCCCGATGAACACAAGAATCTGGTCTTAGACCCTTGTATGGAGTTCGGAAAGCATGTTCATAACTCTGATTCCAATAACTCCACCTTGATCTCCCAGAATTAACTCTCTCGTTGGTTTTTTGGCTAAAAGCATTAGCGAGGTATATCCTAGAGACCTAGAAGCAGCCGAATCCGAGTAAAACAGGAAGCAACCATCTACACTAGGATTTAATGGATGCATAATTGAGAAAAGCCTTCTGTAGCGATTGCGCCGAACTGAACCCCAAGAGATTCCGGGCAAAAAGAAGAAGACCCAATTGAGGATTTCGGCAATGAATGAACTACTAAAGCCGCCATCTTTTACTACCGTTATCGAAACAGGAAGGAACTAAATCGAGAGATGAGACATAAGAGAGAAATGGAAGGCTTAGACTCATAGCGGAGCGACAGATTTTTCTCAAGGCAGAAGGAAGCAGAGCTGATGAGAATCGGAGATTGAGCGGAACGGGGGACCGGGAAAGAGAGCGGCAACCGGCGGAGCTGCCTGGCGGGAACATCATCCACCAAGTCAAAGAGATTTTAGACTTTGGGCTTATGGGCTTGGGCTTGGACTTTGTATGGACTGTGGTCATGCTGCCTGTTGGGCTTTCCCGGTTAACATGAACGCGAGCGAGATCTCATGGCGGGAGGAGAGTTGCCGCCAAATCCATTCCGGCAGCCACGAATCGACCAATGGAGAATGTCACCATTTTGGGGGCGAAAAAAGTAAGATATATGCCATTTATGACACCGATGGAAGAAGTATTTGGAAGAGAATTGAATATAGACCAACCAACAGAAGAGCTTCTCACAGCAGCTTCATCACCATGGCAACTATGAGTCAGTCATGATGGTTATTTGTGACCAAGTTTGACGATTTATTGATCACGACATTTGCACATTTAGATGCTACTACTATACAATCAAGAGGATTCCTGCAATCTATCCTTTAGATTCAACATCCACAGTGCTCCAACCTCAGATCGTCGATGAGGAGCATTACATTGAAACTGCACAAAGAGTTGCTGTAAAATGCATGCAGGAACAAAACCATGGTGTTAACTGGAAGAAGGGCTGCACCGCTGCAGAACTGTGATTATGTCCCAAGCCACAAATAGTTACATTAGGCCTCAGAATGATGAAGAATTGATTTCTAACTCAATCTCAAATCTGCTTCACTTTGTAAGGACTCACTGCCCTATTTGAAAACCTAATAAGAATATGAACCAAGAAGTTGGTTCATCCACCAACAGAATCAAGGACCCTCTGGTTCACCGCCTCGAAAGATTCTCTCTCGAGATTTAGATGCCTGCAAGAAAGAAACACCGAGAGAAGAAGCGTTGAGCATTGGACTAACCGTAACTAACATGGGCAAGGGACAGAAAGGGGGTGTGGTGGACAAACAGGAAACCTGTTGTTCCCAATTGGTGAGGACTATGGTGACAGCAAATAGAGATGCCTGGAGGCCAGCTCCAGTTGATATCCCAATCAACAGTCCTTTCCCTCTCAAATGTGCAACAAAAGCCAATATGGCAGCTAATGGCGTCCCGACCAAGTAGTAAGCCCCGAGGTTCACAAAAGCACCTAGTTTTTGCTTCCCACTTCCCCTCACAACCCCTGTTCCATCCACAACACAGAGGTGTCAGATATACTTAATTGATCCAGATGCAGGATATGATCGTCGAGTAATAGATAGATTGATTTGCGTTGTCATTAGCTTGCAACTTGACAGGACCAGAACGTCATCAATTGGGCTGATTTGAGTTCTACAGGTTATAAATCATTGCCTTTTCTGTCAACTCAGGTTGCAAGCATGTTGCATTGAGTAGGGCCAAAAATATAGAGGTGACAAATACACAAATTAGGTAGGGGGAGATACTAATGTTTAATCGGGTTACGAGTCTATAAAATCACATCATAATCAAGTTATGGATTGATCAGATTGTGCTCTCGTCGAGTTGCAGCAAATCAGGTTTAACGCATCATTAATTATTTGATCGACTCAAATTTATTTAGTTTTTTTTTACCTGATAGTACTGCTTGTAGGGCATCCGTGATGCATTGGAGACACAGGAAAGGAGCCATAGTTGCAACATAGTCGACGATTTCTTTGTCACTGCTGAAAGCGTACCCCAAGAAGTGTCTAAGGAACAAAAGAGGCAGGATGATGACAACCAGTTCCGTCGCCAAGAGAACCATTACAACCTTCATTGCCAGCTTAGCTGCCTTTGCATTCCCTGCTCCCAACTCGTTTGACACCCTTGTACTGGATCAAAAGAAAAACTTCTGTAGGATGTTTATATACACAAAAACAGAATACGGTTTCAAAGTGCAGTGTATCGAAACGTTACCTAATAGTGGCTGCAAAGCCAAGGGGAATGGTTGAGTGCATGTAAGAGATTGAGAAGCTACACCATTTCAACCAAAGATTGAATGTAGGAACAATCAAGTGAAAGAGGAAAATAAACAGTAAGAAGGCAGGCATTGTTGTAGCATTACCAAATTGATAAAACTGAAGTTTCCAACTTCGGGTTTGGTAAGAGCCCAGACAACAAAATGAGCACATCAAACGACCACCATTCAAGGCTGCAATTAAGCCGAAAGACCGAGATCAATAAGGGGGATGTTAGACTTTTTGTCTTCCTTTTTGCAAGTAAGATCGTGTCGAATGCTACTGCACTTTGCTTGAGTAACCGTTGATTTGCCCGAGAAAATCATGTTTAGAGGGCAATTTGATGCATCAAGTAAAGTTCAGTATCACTCGATCCAACTTACTCGCACTCTCCAACATGCCAATACAAGTACTGATCATTTCACTAAACTACATTCCTGACAAACCACAAACTAAACTAGATAATATGTATCAAAGCAACAACTTCGCCTCATTATCAGTGACCATTTCTGCTCTAGTTTGGTGATGTATTCAACCCAACAATTCACATTAGTACATTACCATACCATGTCATAATCGCAGAAGGAACCGCAAACCGCAAGAACGCCCATGACTCCACCAACACATCCTTCCACCTAAACTCAGCCATAGTCTCTGCACATTTGGGAGAGCAAACCATGTAAGTCCCAAGCAAGATCGTGTTAGCCCAAGTGGACACACTAGTCGACAATCCAGCCCCGATGCAGCCCAATCTGGTTCTGAACACAAGAACCCAGCACAGAGGAACATGGACACAAATCGCTGCAAGCGACGAAAACAGCACTGGAAGGAGCAAGCTCTGTGTCTGGAAGAAACGGATCATGGGCTGAAGCAATGCGTAGGCGAAAAGCCCTGGGATGAGGCAGATCGAGTAGCTGCGAGCCAGGTTCGAGATTGAATGGTCTTGGCCGGTGAGGATGAGCAACTTGTTTGTGAAGAATAGCCAGAGGATGGAGATGGGGAAGCAAAGCAATGTCATGGATGCGACGGCGGAGTAAGTATAGGTTGCTAGCTTCTGGTGTTGCCCTGCTCCGTAGGCTTGGCCGCACAGTGTCTCCAACCCACCAGCCATTCCAGCCTGCATGTTGCAGTCCCTCCAACCGATCAAAGTGGGTAAAACAGAGAAGCAAAAAGGCAGAGGAAAGGAAGAGACAGAGGATGGACTCACAAGCAAGGTGAAGCCGGTGACAAGGGAGAAAGCGGTGGCGATGGAGGCCGCCGAGAGGGAGAGCTGGTCGTCGAGATGGCCAACCATTAGTGTCGAAAGGAAGTAGCCAAGGTACTGCAACAGCGTGGCTGCCACCATTGGAGCCGCTACCAAGCTTACCGTCTTTACCTCTTTCATCCACACCACCGATTTACTACTCCTGGTCTCGTTACTCGCCATTTACAGAGTTCCTTCCTTTCAATTCCACTTGTGTATGAAAGTATGACCAGGAGGACTAGTGAGGTTGTGAATTGGAAGCTGAGAAGAAACAGGGATAAGACATCTGTCCCAAACTCCCATGGAGTTTCTGCCACCTGCCAGTATCTATTTTGTCATGTTCCATGGCTGCTAATATAGGGGTAAGGAGATCTGCATGCAAGGATATAAAATTTTGAAGGTCGAGGACAGGATAATGGCGGGCTAAAATTGGATCGAATAATCAACTTTCGGATCTGCATAAGCAACATAGATGCTCTGTTTTCGTTTGTTAGCTGCATAAAAGGGAATCTCTTTTCCACTCTTTTCACTGCTATCAACCAACAACGGTCCAACTCGATCACACTACAGCTAAATATAGTTGTAGCTGCTTGACATAAAGATAGATAACAATGGCACATCCAATTCCAACCATTACAGGGTTGGATTACGTGCATCTTTCGATTTCTCATCTTTCTTTTGCATTCCATCAAAAGTTTCTGTTGTCCGTGCAATTACAATTACTTAATATAGCATTGCCTACTATAATTAGAAACGATGATTCAACTGTGTATTTGTCAGAATCTATCGTATTTCGTTTGATATTGACGTAAAATGGGGTGTCTCGATCTAGCATATTCGTTTTGGGTGGTGAAAAACAGAGTGGAGTATGTTACCTTGTTTCTGGTGGCCGGTGAAGAGTTGTTGCCTCCTTTGGAAATTTGGCTACCCAAGCCACAACTGGTTATATGAGAAATGGGCCTCAAATAAAGGAGAATTGGTTCATTTGTATATCAGTGTCAAGTATGCAATCATGCTGCACTCTATAAGGCCTAATTGCTCCATAAATCAGAACCAGAGCAATTGGAAAGTGTCTAGAACCGAAAATGTTCGAACTAGGCTAAGCTAACTGAGTATGCTAACTACAAACAACCGATCAACACAAGAGAATGGGGGTAAAGATTGCTGCCGCAGCTCTGCTGCAACTTAGGCCAGCAAGAAGAGAAAAAAAATACAAATCCCAAAGGGGCATGGATCCTTTGGCCATGATCGAAACAGGAATAATGGTTTCCTGGAGTTAGTCCTAGAGTGATCAAGCAAATGCAATCGACTACATTCGACTATATACCTGGAAACAAACAAACTGGTTGTTTTTCCTTTTTTCTTGGTCCGAGCTTCTTCCTCCTTGTTTCTGCTTGATTTCAGAAGCTAGAAATGTGAACGGTAAAATCTTTGTGGCAGAAGAAAGTATAAATTCCAATAAGCCTTCTCTCTGTTCCTCTAGAAGTTCAATATACAGAGACCTTAATTCCTTTTCCATTCACTGCTGAGTAGAATGCTGGAAGAGAGATTCTATAATAGTGCCCACCAGCCAAACTAAGCTGCTAACTGAAGCCTCTTATACTGGTTTTCCAAATCCGTGGCCTGTTGTTTCCACCGAGACGATTTGAGGCTTCTCAAAACTGTCCCATAAATATTAGGATCCGGCGCTAGACCCTTATTCATCATTGTGCAAAGAATGTCTTTGGAAGTCACCAGATTGGATTTCCTCCTATGGAGTTCTGCAAGCGTGCTGTAAGCCTGATTACCCGAATTCTTGAACCTATCACTCACTGAAACCACGTACTTGTAAGCCTCGTCGTATTGCTCGACGTTGAACAACAACTTGATAACAGCAGCATGTGTCGATTGCCTCGGTTCAATGCCAGCTTCCACCATATGATCGAAGAACTTTATCCCGGTACTGAATCTCTCCTTCGCCACACAATCACATATAAATATCTCAAAAGTCAATGCATCAGGAGGGCACCCTTTGCTCATCATTTCCTGCAGAGCTTCGTGAGCTGAATCTTCCTGGCCAGCCTTCAACATCGTACTAATCATGTAATTGTAAATATGGCGTTCAAAATCGATAGTATAATCCCTATGAGCTTCCCTCATCTCCCCCATCGCGTCTCTCGCTTTTTGATACTCCTGCTTCTTACACATTTCCTTTATCAGTATGCTGTAATAAGACACCCTCATATCACTTAACCTGATCACAAGCTTGGCCATATCAAAAGACACCGAGCTGGCGAGCATCTCAATCAAGGATTGCATCCCAGTTGCATAAACTCCACCCTTAACCTCTTCCAATATACGCACTACAGTTCGTATAGCTTCTTCCACCGAAACACCTTCATCTCTAAACCTCAAAGCTAAGAACTGAAATGCTTCTTTGGTCAGAGCAATGCCTTCCGAACTGAAACGAACTAAGAGACTACGCATGGTTTCATAATCATCACATCGACCGCAGTTGTCGATCATTAAGTTACAAAGACAGGAGTTGCGCATCAGACCATGGTGAGTATCTTGAAGCCAGTCAAAGAAACCTAAAGCTGATACCTTGTCTTGATTGAGGACACGAAGAATCTCCCTGGCGGACTTAAAATCCAAACTTAGATTCATCGAATCAAGCTCCGAATCCAAATCGCCATCGCCATTTCTGACCAATGCAACAATATTCCAGAACGGTATTAACTTTGGTTTCTGCCGAAAGACCTTAGCAAGAGATCTCCGCGACTCGGGATCATCAGCAGCCGATGCAGATGCCGAGTAACATCGGAAGCAGCCGCCATGAGTGACAGGATTCAGAACACTCGAACTGTAGCGATTGCGCCGACTGAACCCTAGTGATTCTGAGCACATCCAAGACGACGACCCATCGGTGGAGGGATTCGACTGTGAGCTTCTAAAGCTGCCAGCTTTACCTTCGGAGAGGTAGAAGAAGGACCCAATTGAGAGAATGAAAGAATACAGGGGAAATGGAGTCGGGAATGAATCGGAGAGCGGATTTTCGGAGGGTTTGCGAGAGGGATCGGAACGGGAAACGGAGAGGTGAGAGAGCAGTGTGGAAATAGAAGGATGGGATTCGGAGAGTGACCTGAGTGTTTTCTGGGATACGATTGAGACGCCCATGGAAAGTACGGAGCACAATGGAGAAGAAGAACGAAGGATTGTGGGGGATTTTGGGGGAACAGATCGCCGGGAGAAAGGATAGCGGTGGCGGTGAGGTAGGCTACCTGCTTTTGGTCGAAGTCTAATTCACCTGCCGGCGACGAAGAACTGGGGACAATATGGGCTTTACCGTAGTGATGAGCGGGCCTCACATTTGGGTTCTAGTGATGAGCGGCCTTGCAGTTTTTCTGGGCTTTTTCTTTTCTTTTGGGGATAGGATAGGACGTTAACAGTTAACAACTCAATGTTATTCCGACCTACAAATAAATGATTTTAGTGGTACTTGTTGTGCCACTATCCGTACAAATATAGGTCAAACCTTTCCTCACCCTCAGTTCTCTCCAAATTGTTTCTCTCCACCGCCGCCATAACCACAACACTCAGTCTCACGCGACTCCGCGCTATCGGTCGTCGTTGAAATCTTGAATTTGTCTCCCTCGCTTCGTTGCAACCATCTCTCGCGACCATGTCTCCACCATTCAAACCACAAGTAAGCGAATTGGAATTTGTGGAGCTGGATTCTTTAAAATGCCATGAATTTCTCATCTATAGTGTTTATGGTTTGCTTTGTGAGGTCTTTTGTGTGATTTATCGACTTTTGGGTCTCCTTCATGAGAGTTGTTATGTGGTTTCGCATAATTTTGGTATACCTCGTTAAATTTCTTATTTGGGCCAGGAGATTAGTGATTTGTATCGCGTTTAGCGCTTGTGGTATGTTTTGGTAGCGTTTATGGTATGCTTCGTGAGGTTTCTAATGCATTTTCTCGACTTTGCGGTCTGCTTCATCAATGTTGTGGTGTTTTTTTACATGTTTCTGGTATTTTTCCTAACAAGATCGGATCATATATCACAAACTTATGATGCAAAATGAATTATGAAAATTATAGCCTTAACATCTTTGAACATCCTCTATTTCGGTAGACTCCAATGCAACTATAAAATGGGGACTTTAGTTATCTTACTATAGATGCTCCTATCATCAGAGCACAAATACACAAAAACAAAAACATAAACTAAGCAAGAGACTAATCCCCTCTTATATAATGTCTCAAAGTCCATTAACTAAGCAAGAATATTTAAGATAATGATTACATGGAAGTGTTGTATTGATTGAATTGTGTTGGATGTTTGTGATGCCAATAATGAACGCCTGTTCTTTGCGGACCCAACAAAAATGATATAACAAATTTGGGATGAATTATTGTATCCACAAACGACACCTATGGAATATTCATTCTTTGGCCATCTTTCTCATACGGTCATACCCTTGTAACCCGACAAAACCATGCTTATAGATCAATCCATTCTTGCTAAGTTTCCCATTAAATGTCCTTTCCAAATTCCATGTGGGTTGTATTATACTTTCACAATTAAGTGTAATCATACATGGCAATACAACAATGTATCATAAAAAAATGTCAATAAATATGTCATTGATAAGATCTGATATTTTTTCGTTTGCATAATTACATGGGTAAATTATTTCCTGTGGTGATAGACATTCGTCGAAATTATGATAAATCTTGATTGTCATCTCAACTGTGAACAAAAATGACGAATAGCATTTACATAATTTGTCTTCATAGATTAACAACAACCACTCAGACTAATGTTGTGATGCTCACAGGACATGTGTGAGAATGTGCTCACAGAATGTCAAAACCGTCGGATCTTGCAACTGACCGCTCCGTAATTATTAAATGAATGTGATGACATGTTATTTATAAAATTATCACCACATCCATCTAAAAATTGTGGAGCCTCCAAATACATAACCTCCGACGATCACACGCTCCAGTGAACACGTTCTAACAAATTTTCTTGCGAAGTATTTTAGCAAAATCCTATGACAAGTAACCTATCAAAAGTAGCCGTTGCATTTAACTATTTCCATTCCACCTTCATAATTATATATATATATCTTCCTTTGGCGTTACAAAAACACCATCCAATTCCATGATTGACTTGCAGACAGCTTCCCACAAAGCCATAATCAAAAGCTCAGCTTAATAGCCAATCCAGCATGCTTCTATGCAATCATTTTGATTAATTACCCAATTTAAACACAAAATTAGTTGGAGGAAACAAGGGAAAACAAGCGTACATACAAAGCAGAAAATCATCTTCTCTGCCTAATTACCATTTATTACCAACCGCTAAGAAATCAACCGCACCCACCGCGCCACACTCGGCACCCCCTGATTCACCGCGAAAACCATATAGTAACTCGGCGGCGCCACCGCCCCGTTCGCCGGCGCCGTACAGCTGATCCTGTACCTTCCGGCGTCGACGGGAACGCTGGGCGTCACCGTCAACTTAACCAACCTCTGCCCCTGCGAGAACGAGTGAGTCGCAAACGGCGCGCTCGCCATATTAACCTCAATAATCCCCACGACCGGCAACTGAACCGAAACCGATATCTCGAAAACCTCCCCGTACCGAACCGTCTCGGGTACCTCCTCGATCACGGGCCGCAGGTTCGCTCGGTCGGGTGCCAAATACTCGGGCGAGAACGCCTCGATCCGCAGCTCGGTCGGGAACTCGACGGCCTCGAACCTGTACACGTAGTGCGGGTTGCTCCCCGCGAGCAGGACCCGCCCGTCGGGAAGCAGGTTCGCAGTGGAATGGTACAACCGTGGCACGGTCCCTGGAGTCAAGGTCATGAACCGCAACCCGACCGGCTGGTCGGGCCGGTAGAGGACCGGATAGAGGCAAGGGTTGGAAGCTAGTTCGAACCCTTGAGTACCCGATTGGGCCCCATTGATAATCAAAACGTCGCCGGTTGGAAGCATGACCATATCGCCCATGATCCGGCCGAACGGCATGTCCTCCATCTGCCAGACCGGGTCGGGCGACGTGGCGACGATCCGGCCGCAGGTTCCGTGGGCCGGCGTGTCGGTGCTCTTCTCGATGAACGCGCCGTACTGGGCCCCACCGCAGACGACGATGACGGCCGTGGAGTGATCCCCGTCGAGCGCCAGCATGGCGCTCGACCCCGCGGAAGGGTAATTCCTCGGGCCGCCGTCTAACGGCGGGTAATTTCGGATCACGGCGTTAGAATCGTGGTCGTAGAGGACGGCTCTGTTGTTGGCGAAGACGAAGAGACGGCCGTTGGGGAGGAGGTGGACGTAAGGGTACAAATTGTCCATCTGATTGTCCTCCGTTTCGACCAAGAAGGGGAACGAAACGGCGCCGTTTTGACGCGGCGGGTAGAACTCGACCGAATTGGCGGCCCTGCCGCCGACGATGGCGACGGAGCCGTCGGGGAGGATCTGATTGGTGGCGTACCAGCGGCCGTGGGACAATTCGGCGTCGTCGAGCTCGACCCAGTCGCAATTGCCGTCCCAATCGCAGGGATTGAACTTGCGGATCTTCTTGAAGCCGTCGAGGTCGCCGCCGGTCTGGAGGAGGGTGCCGTCGGGGAGGAACTGGCCGGAGGAGCACCAGGTGTCGGTGAGGATCATGAGGGGGCGGAGGTGGTTGGTCTGCGGGTGGAAGACGAGGGAGTGGGCGTAGCAGTCGTGCTTCAGAACGGCGTCGTGTGGGTCAATTCGGCAGCGGGGTTTTGGGAGGAGCTTGCGGGAAGGTCCGATGTTGGTGCGGTCGAGGAGGACGACGGTGTTGAATCGGGTGACGGCGGTGTGCATGGAGGCGATGCCGGCGTTGGGGACCAGGAGCTCCCATGTCCCCGGGAGCTGAGCGCGAATTGGGGAGAAGAAGAGAGTGAAGGCCAGAAACAGGGGAAGAATAAGCCATTGAGAAAACAGGGGAAGGAGAAGGAAACCCATCGTTGTTGGGAAAGTGAAAGGAATTGGCAGAGAGCGAAATGGATCAATTAATAATGAAAATAGACGGTTTGTGCATGTGGACTGTTTGCTGCCGGCGAAGTAGTGAGTGGAAGAGGGATGAGTGGTGTGGCGGACGTATGCAGAAAGCGATGGAGAAGATGAAATGATGAAAAGGAGTGTCGACGTTCGTTGCTCCACTAACTTAATATACTGTTGTACAAGTAGAAACGAAAATCATAGAATAAACGAAAATTGACAGGGAAGAAGAGAGAGTGGATTATAACTTGTGTGGTGGGTGGTGGGACGAGTCTAGTCTGGCTGGAGACCCAAACGCTCCCATGTGGCGGGTATGATTCGGTTTGCTTTTGACAACTACGCAGTCATAGGGAAAAAATCCCAAAATACTCTACCTATTAAAAAAAATTCCTCAAATACAATACTTATAAACTTTTTTCCCAAAATACAGCAGTTTCACCATCACTGTCTTTGTCCAAGACAGTGATAGTAATCATCGCTTTGATTAAAAACGGGGAAGGTATCACCGCTTTTGAGAACAGCGGGGATAACATCACCGCCTCAAACCACGACAGTGATTGCTTCACCGCCTCGGACCACGACAGTGAATGCTTCACCGCTTTGGACCACAACAGTGATCGCATCCCCGCCTTTCAGAACGACGGTGACCGAAATGCCATTTTCTTTCGATTTTGGAGGCTACAGATCACAGATTCGGCTCGAGGCTATTCTCCACCGATAATAAAGTCCATTGATCCTATTCTGCGCCGATGATTAGGTCAATTAAGCACCGAATTGGGCCAATATATTTTGGGATGACATTTTCGTAATTATTTGAGCAATTTTTTTCGAAAGGCCATTTTCCTTGGATTTTGAAGGATAAAGATGGTTGATTCGGCCTGAGGCTATTCTTCAACGACGATTAAGTCCATCAAGGGCCAATTTGGGCGGATTTCTTCAGGGTCCATTTTTGGCAGACTCCAAAGGGGTACCATCACAGATTTCTGGCGATTTTTCCGAAATGCCATTTTCTTTCGATTTTGGAGGCTACAGATCACGGATTCGGCTCGAGGCTATTCTCCACCGATACTAAAGTCCATTGATCCTATTCTGCGCCGATGATTAGGTCAATTAAGCACCGAATTGGGCCAATATATTTTGGGATGGCATTTTCGTAATTATTTGAGCAATTTTTTTCGAAAGGCCATTTTCCTTGGATTTTGAAGAATAAAGATGGTGGATTCGGCCTGAGGCTATTCTTCAACGACGATTAAGTCCATCCAGGGCCAATTTGGGCGGATTTCTTCCGGGTCCATTTTTGGCAGACTCCAAAGGGCCGAAATGCCATTTTCTTTCAATTTTGGAGGCTATAGATCACGGATTCGGCTCGAAGCTATTCTCCACCGATAATAAAGTCCATTGATCCTATTCTGCGCCGATGATTAAGTCAATTAAGCACCGAATTGGGCCAATATATTTTGGGATGGCATTTTTCGTAATTATTTGAGCAATTTTTTTCGAAAGGCAATTTTCCTTGGATTTTGAAGGATAAAGATGGTGGATTCGGCCTGAGGCTATTCTTCAACGACGATTAAGTCCAACCAGGGCCAATTTGGGAGGATTTCTTCCGGGTCCATTTTTGGCAGACTCCAAAGGGGTACCATCACAGATTTCGGGCGATTTTTCCGAAATGCCATTTTCTTTCGATTTTGGAGGCTACAGATCACGGATTCGGCTCGAGGCTATTCTCCACCGATAATAAAGTCTATTAATCCTATTCTGCGCCGATGATTAAGTCAATTAAGCACCGAATTGGGCAATATACTTTGGGATGGCATTTTCGTAATTATTTGAGCAATTTTTTTCGAAAGGCCATTTTCCTTGGATTTTGAAGGATAAAGATGGTGTATTCGGCCTGAGGCTATTCTTCAACGACGATTAAGCCCATCCAGGGCCAATTTGGGCGGATTTCTTCCGGGTCCATTTTTGGCAGACTCCAAAGGGGTACCATCACAGATTTCGGGCGATTTTTCCGAAATGTCATTTTCTTTCGATTTTGGAGGCTACAGATCACGGATTCGGCTCGAGGCTATTCTCCACCGATAATAAAGTCTATTGATCCTATTCTGCGCCGATGATTAAGTCAATTAAGCACCGAATTGGGCAATATACTTTGGGATGGCATTTTCGTAATTATTTGAGCAATTTTTTTCGAAAGGCCATTTTCCTTGGATTTTGAAGGATAAAGATGGTGTATTCGGCCTGAGGCTATTCTTCAACGACGATTAAGCCCATCCAAGGCCAATTTGGGCGGATTTCTTCCGGGTCCATTTTTGGCAGACTCCAAAGGGGTACCATCACAGATTTCGGGCGATTTTTCCGAAATGCTATTTTCTTTCGATTTTGGAG